TTTTCGAGTCTGCGGTAGCCCCCTCAGATCCCCCTCGTAAACCAATAATTTTTGGGATGTAATTTTTCATTTTATAAAGGTCGTAAAAAACAGGCGAATAAAGAGACTCCCTTCTCTTTATAATGGGACAGCTCAATGAGGTTTTGTTTCAGAAATAAAACAAAAAAAGTTTCGGCTTTATCACCTTTATATCGGTTTTCGCCTCAGGTGGAGGATGAGTTTTTGATTTGTCAAAATTTTTGGGGTGAAATTGAGGTTGAATTTGATATTTTTGGCTTAAAATTTCAAAAAAAGTAAAAGTTTTGATGTCCAGTGTAAGATAAGTTGATCTTCTGATAAGATGCTTGGTATTTTTACTCCATAAAGGGGCCATTGCGACTCGAATTTTACTGTAGAATCGAATTTACTGCCGAAAACTTTTTTTGTCAGACAAAAAAATGAAGTCTCCTTATGCGTCCCAAATTTTTAGTTACACCCCATTTTTTGATCATAACTCGGAGGTTTCTCTATCAAATGTCACTAAATTTTAATCAGATGTTAATCAGCCTTTAAGAATAAGTTATTCAAAGTTTCATGATATTTGCCTGCAATGCTCGGAAGTTATGGCGATTTCTCTAAATTCCGGGTGTATACGTAGCCTTTGTAGAATTTAAGTGAATATCTCGGACCCCCTTGTAAAGCGAAGGCTAAAATTTTTAGGAATTGTTACGTGGGTAAGTGGTAGGGAGTATGCTAAATTTGAGTAAAATCGGCCCTTTGAAACTGTTGTTTTTTGCATATTCATAATAGTGGACCTTAAAACCCGATGGCCAAAAATTTGAAAAAAAATTGAGGCTTTTTTCCACAATAAACTATTTCAAAATTAAACCGATTGGGTCCTAAACGTCTTTATATTTGCTTTAAAATACGATACATGTAGTAAATGGTATATTTACAGTGCTTTTTTTACATCCACATAATTCATAATCCCCATAAAACATGTCCAACGTGCTCCAACTTTATGAGACCCTCATTCTCCGCTCTCCGAGAGCTCCTTTATGATTCCAAGCACTTTCAAATTGTCTTTCTTCTCCTCCGGCACGCAACACGAAAGAGATTTTTCCATTATTATTTTTGCAAAAACATAAAATCGAGTTTTGCGCCGGTTAAAAAAGCTAATTTGCAATAAAAAAAGAGTGCCATTGGCATTCGGATCGTCAAGTTTTTTACTGCAACTTGCTTTAGTTTTGCTGTTTCTTGCGATTTGTGGTAATTAAAAGGAACAATCGTTTGTCTAGTTTTACTTTTTGCAAGCATTTGTTGTTGGATTGGGAAGGAAGTTGGAAGGAAAGAGAGAAAATGAAAGATTTTGGGGATTTGATTTATCTGGTGAGAAAAAGGGCGAGAAATGCCTTGAAAATAAAAAAAAATCAATCTGTCGGGAAAATAATGAGCATTCTGTCGTATCGAAAATCGTATCGCCGCTGAGAAAGTGAATTTTGTCGCGGAAAAATCAAATTGCGCTTCAGTTCAGCGACGCGATTGGCGGGGCGATTTTGTGCTCATTATTTTCCCGGCAGGCAGAGGAATTCATTGCATTTTGTTTTTGAAAATGCTAATCTAAATATCTAAATTTGCGTTAAAATTGATGAAAAACTGAGGCTAAAAATTTTGAAATTAAAAAAAAAAAAAAAAAAAAAAAAATTTGCCTTGGTCCCCTCTGATCATCCTTTCCAAAAAACAATTTTTTGTCTAAACTCGTGTCCTTCTGTCCAAAAAATCTTTTGGTTCTCAAGGTTGTTGTGCTCCACTTTTGGGGTAAAGTTTTGTCTTGGTCCCCCCTTTACATTTTTTCAATTTTTTTTTTTTTTTTTTTTTTTTTGTAATTGTTGTAATTTTGTGATTTTTGGCTAACTTTTTGTGCCTACTTCACTTATTTTATTGATTTTTCAAAAAATTGCCCAAAAATTCCAAAAATTTTTTAATCAAAAAAAAATTTTTATTCCCCCCCCCCTGACCACTTGTCAAAAAATCCTAAAACCTATCTGCAAATAAAAAAAACTTCTCTCCGGCAAATCTGCTGTTGTTTTCCCCCGTATTCCTCCTGTTCCCCGTCCTCTTGACTTTGATTTTATCAAACAATCTGCTTCGGAATGTTCAAAACGACTCAAAAAATGCATTGTTTGTTTTGTTTCCAATCATATTGCACTCTCCATTCTTCCTCATTCATTAGGCGAGGAATGATAAGCTCACATTTCAAATTTTTTCCGGCCCAAAGGGCTTCGAAGTGGATCAATTTCACTGGGAGAAACATTTGTTTTTTCGCCCTGGCCAAGTGTTTTTTCTCTTCTCTTTTGAAGACAGGAGGAAACAATGGTTTGTTTTTGCAGATATCCGATAGCTTTTGGGGTAATTTGGAGGGGATTGTGTTTGAAATTGATAGGATCTTTGTTTAGAAAAGTTGAGGACTGTTTGTGTCTCCTCATTTTCTATGGTCTCTCGTTAGTAAAGATGGTTGAATATCTCGGCTATAGCTGCAAAGCGTGGGCTAAAATTTCCATTGATTGATTTGTACCCTATTTAGATTATGGTGAAAGAAAATGACGAAAATCTACCGGTCGATTTACAAATAGTACCCAAAAAGTCTGTATTTTAAATGTCTAACTTTTTCTATTTTTTTGATAGTCCGCCCTTGCCATAACTTTTTCATTGACAGCTTAAATAGTCGTTTATGACTTCTTTATCACATTTCAAGTCTTGGTTTGTGCTTTTTTGGATTTTCACGACCTTTTTTGATCCAATTTATATTATCCTTCCCAGCTATAGTCATTACCTTTAAAGGTCTTATCCAATTCGCTCTTTTCAACTCAAATTACCCCTCTTTTCCCTTCACAATCACCCCTATAGCCTCCAGATCAACGACATCCCCTCTAAATTACCCCCGAACTTTTAATGAAACTTCTGCTCGCAATTAAAGCCAACCTCCTCGAGCTGCAGCGTTTTGTGCGCGGTTAACATGCGTTTGCTCCCCTCCCCTCCAACCTCCATCTTCTTGGGGCGTTTTGTCAAGTGGTTTCGCGTCCTTCGGTTTTGAAATTGGATCGGGCCCATCTTTTTTTTTTGGTAATTTTAGTTTGAAAAATCGTGAGATTAAGATTTTCAACGCGGGAACAGGGCTTAGAGATGTTTTCTCCGCTTTTTGCGAAGGGTTTAGCGCTCTATGACCTTAGGTCGTTGGACGAAAAGTTTGTAGGCCGAATATGTAGGGGCGTGGTAAAGTGGAAGCTATTATTTTTTGCCGAAAATTGAGGTAATTTGGGATTTTTTGCCAATGTTTCGAAGTTCTTGGGGGACTTGGAATTTTGGCGGTAAAATTTTTATTTTGCCAAGCTAAGGAATGGCTTGTAGATTGTCTCAAAGCTACTGTGGAGAGCTCTAAAGTTCCTACAGCTTTTATGGGTAGCTTTTATTTGCCAAGAATTAGGGATATTTTTAATTTTTTTGTCAAATTTTGATGATTTTTTGAAATTTCCTCTAAATCTTTTTAAAAAATAGCTAGAGCTTAGTGCCAGCCGTATTTTAGAGACAGTGGACAGCTTTTCGATGTTGCAAAAAAGATCTTGAATAGCTCTTAATCGCCTCTCATAACAAGCAATTTTCTGAAACCCCCAATTTTCGACTTTTTCTTCTCGCCACACCCAATTTTGGTCCTAAAATACGCTACAAAAGCAATTATTCCTAGTCAAATACCACGCTTCGTCCAATGTCACACCTTTAGCATTCCAATTTTATGGGCCCTACGCAATCTCCGGGTCACTGTGACGTAATTCCTCGTCCATTTCGGCTTTTCCCGTTTCAAGAAGAAGCGAACGGGCATTAGCGAAGAGGAGGCGCACAAATCTGAGCGTTCGTTGTGGGGAGATTAGTGGAAATGGGACGGAGTAATACCCGAAAAGACGCGGTTGTCCATATGCGCGATATTGCACTTGAACTGGGCCCGTTATTCGGGGGAAACGAAAACATTTTGGGGCGGCGGGGGGTTTTTGAGGATTTCGACGGGATTTTTGGAGGAGTTGGAGGGAGATTTTGCAAGTTTTGGATAGAGTATTTGTTTGAGGTTGCCACAGCATACAATTTGCGATTTTTTACGGCCTATTTTTAGGAGGGATTTCAAAAAAATCGCATAATTTGCAAATTTTTTGATGATTTTTAGATTTTTTGATCTTTACCAACTAAAATAAGCTGTTGTATCAATTGTAAATTACTTTCTATTGAAGAAAATTTAATGTAGTGAAGGTTACATCGATTTTTTTAGCTTATATTGTCATCAAAAGTACAGAAATTCCCTAATTTCCTAATTTTTTTGGAAATTTTTCGGTTATTTGTTGATTTTGGATTAATAAAAGGTAAAATACGTTCAGATCTCAGCAATTCTATAAAGGCAGTGCCCCATAAAACAATTCTCAACCCATCTTACACTTTGCTTTAACATTAAAAAATGAAAAAATCTCAAATTTCTCAAATTTTTGCTTATTTTTCCGATTTTTTCTCATGCTACTCGCAAAATAAGCCTTTCAAATACCATTTATTGCCTTCCTAAGACTTCACTGACCATTTATTACTTTTCTTTTACTCGCTGACTACACAAAAACATCAGTTATCTCATGTATTTCCCCAAAAAATTGTTTTTTCCACTTTTTCCAAAACTCGAACGCGACTTTTTTTAAACTCAGTAGTGTAATAATTAAGGAAAGCGATGTTAGTTGACTTCGAATACCTAGTCGAGAGTAACTTTGAACCCGGTTTGTCGAGAATTTTCACATTTTTCATCTAATTCTCAATTTTTTGATTAGAATTAGTCTAAATTTATGCCTAAATTAAAGGAAATATCGCTGATTTAATGTTAATTAAGTTTCAAAAAGCTGTAATATTTATCGCGGATTCTATTTTTCTTGATTTGAAATAGTAATTTTTACATTTTTCTAGGAATTTATGTAGATATTAGTGAAAATAAGCGATAAATGGCGGAAAAATCAAAGTTCCCGGTGCTAAAGGTGAGTTTTCTATGAAAAAATCGATGTGAAATCTTTTGTGGACAAATCTTTGTCTAAATTAATATAATTATAAGTTTATAAAATTAATTTTTTTCAAAAAATCAAAAAAATTTTTGAGATTTTTTAGCATTTTTTGATTCAAAAATCTCAAAAAATTCTGTATAACGCGGTTCAAAGATCTTTAAAATTTTGTAAAATGCTGTAGTTTTATTTTTATTTCAAGTTTTTATCAACTTTTATTATGTTCTGTGACACTTTCTGCCAATTCTTTATCCCCAAAAACTTGTCATCCTTTTCGCATCAAAACAAAGTCCGTCCCGTGAAAGTGGCAGTTTTTATGCACGTTGTCAGTTTATTTCAAATCTACACAACATTTTTTGGGGAAAATCAGATAATGAATAACGGAAAAGCCGTTTTTTTGGGGAGAGAGAAGCGATATTCGCTTGAAAATTCTCGGATTTCTCAAAAATTAATGAAATTCTTGGGGGGAATTGATGATTTGTCAAGTCTAATGGGCTTGATTCAGGTTGTTTTAGGATTTTTAGTGGCATGAGATGTCTGCCATTGCTGAATTTATCGTATTTTACAACTTTTTTAAAATTTTTTAGTCATCATTTCCTCTCAAATTAAAACTCAATTATCTTGCCTTAGGCAATATGAATTTTCTTGAAATTTTGAAGTATGAGAATAGAGTTCATATGTAATCACTGGAGTAAAATTTTTGGTATTATCTCTGTTTGTCTTACTGTAACATCAATTTTTCCGGAAGCTTTGGTTTTACAAGAACTTTTTAATTTTCCTTTAGAAATATGCAAATTTTTGGGTTTTTCGGATACAAAAATAATTTTTATATAAGTATTAGAGTATAGTTACTCTGTAATTTATCTTTTTTTCATTTTATTTCCAAAAAATCAAAAAAAAAATGAAATTTTTCAAAAATTTTACGTTATTGATAGTAATTCCCTTATAAGGCATCAAAAAATGCTTTCAACACGTATCCAAAAAAGCCCATTCGGCTCCAAGGACAAGTCTCTATTTCTATTTTCCTCCAAACCCAATAAACATTCCTCCAAAAAACAAAAAAAGAAGGAGAAACAGGTTTGGGAGTTATTTCAAGAGTCGCACTAAAATTTTGAAAAAAATTGGAACAGAACCGGACGTTGAGAAAAAGTCAAGAGTCTCGGATAAGAAGTTTGCTCCCCAAAGTTTTGAAATTTTATGGGTGAGTTGAGCGAGTCGGAAAGTTGAAATTGAAGAAGTTCTGGGAAATGGGAAATTTAGGGTATTTTTGTGAATTTTTGGGGAAATTTTTTTTGGGCAAAATATTTTTGAATTTGAGAATGGTAAAAAATCTCAAATTTTTGTCAATTTTAGATAAAAAAATTTGGCCAAAATATAAAACTTTTCTATGGAAAATGGTAAAAAATCTCAATTTTTTTCCTTTTTCGACCTAAAAATCTCGATACTTTTTGCAAAGCGCGAGCTCAAAATCTCAAAAATATCTTAAAATATCCTAATCTAAATTTGTCCCCAGCTTTATTAAAATGACTAAACTTCTATTTTTGACGCGACTTTTCCGGTCAGCTCGGGTCAACGCTACTATGGATCGCACCGGTTCGTCGTTGAATGCATTAGATAGGCTAGAAGAAGGCTTAGTTCATAGAAATAATACGATTGATCGGGTCCTAGGATATCTTCTCATCTATTTTGATGTATTATTTTACATGTACTTACATCAATAATATCTAGATAAAAGTTACGGATCTTCGTTTTTGGCCGCAACTTTTGATCCTTCGTATGTTACAATACTTCAGGAAAAAGAAAACTAACGTTGGTAATAGCTAAAATTAGAAAAAATGGACATATTGCAAGTCTTCGCCAAGGCTCCGCCGAGCCTTCGCCGAGCCTTCGCCGAGCCTTCGCCGAGCCTTTGCCGAGGCTTTGCCGAGGCTTCGCCGAGCCTTCGCCGAGCCTTCGCCGAGCATCCAACGGCTTTACCAGACCTCTTAGGCACTTCTTACAAACTTTTTTTGGGTATCCACCTGTCCGACACCCAAAAAAACCGTATTGATCGATTTTCTGTTGACCCGAACTGTCGTCGACCCGAAAAGACGTGTTATTTTTTCGATTTTTTCTTCTCTATTTTTTGAATATTGTCTAATAGTCTAACTATGACAATAATTTTGATTGCCTCATCAACCAAAATCACCTCATAATCTCCACCCAATAACCAGAAAAATCATTTTATCGTTTGCTGCAAAAGTTTCCGCCAAAAATCGCCGGCGCCAATTGTTAATTAATTTCGACGCTCTTCTCCAATTTCTCCACTTCTTTTTTTTAATTTTCGATTTTCACGGTTGAGCGGCGGACGAGCTTGTTTTCAAGCGCACAATACCCGAAATCACTTTGCGAGCGCGGATCTTAGCCCATCTCGTTTTGCAGGCTGGGAATGGGTTACTGTTCGCCCCGCCACCGGCTACTGGATTTCCGATCCCACACGGTTGTTCCGAAGACTCTTTTTCGGGGAGTTTGAGGAAGATGGCGCTAGAAATTGAGGTGAAGATGGGGTTAACGGGCAAGGGGTTTATGGGGTTTGGAGGGGGAAATGGGGAGTTCACCATCTACTAGTCTGTTGCTGGAGTGATTTTTGGCATGTGCAGAAAAATTCAGAGTGCTAGCGACAAACGAAAAAAGCCTATTGCACGGTGCAAAAAGCAAAAAATTTGCACAGTGCAAAAAAAAAAGTTTTGTTTTCGCATAGTGGATGTCGCGAAAATCACTCCAGCGACTTTGCGAACGCGATAGCATGTAAAACACGCTTTTTTAGCTCAGAAATATTATTGAAGATTTTTGAGATTTTTTGGAAAAATGTGAAAAATTAAAATTTTGAGTGGTAAGGGGGGACCAAGGCAACTTTTTTGGTTTTTTTGGATTTTTTTGGAAATTTTTTTATTGTTTCTCGTCTGCTAATATGAAGAATGGGCTAAAACTTTGAGGATTTAATTCATGTCCGAATTCTGTCATTTTAACAAAAAAATTTTTTGATTTCCGAAAAAATTTTTTTTGTCATCTTACCAAAGATGTCTCATTTTTCCAACAAAAAATCACCAAAATGTCCTACAACGTCCAAATCATTCTTTCTCTTTTTTCCTAGCCCTCTCTTGTTGGCGATTTTTGAGATTTTTTGAAAAAATGTGAAAAATTAAAATTTTCAGTGGTAAGGGGGGACCAAGGCAATTTTTTTGGATTTTTTTATTGGAAATTTTTTTATTATTTCTCGTCTGCTAATACAAAGAATGAGCTAAAACTTTGAGGATTTAATTTACGTGCGAATTCTGTTATTTTAACCGAAAAAAATTTGATTTCCGAAAAAAAAATTTTTTGTCATCTTACCAAAAATGTCTCATTTTTCCAACAAAAGATCATCAAAATGTCCTACAACGTCCAAATCATTCTTTCTCCTTTTTCCTAGCCCTCTCTTCATTTCATGTCACAACGGATCGTTTTTTGCGTGTTTAATCGGACGCAATTTGAATGCAGAAGAAAGCGATCATTTCAGCGAACAAAGGGAGAATTTCGACTCCAATACGCGGCTAATTTTCGTGAAACAAACGAAGGAGAAAAAATGAAGCGGAAAAGAATACAACACTGTGGTCACTTTGTTAGCAGACAACACGATCGGTGTTTGGGGTTAACGGTCCGAATGGGAATGAGGTTTTATCGGGGGTTTTGGCGATTTTTTGGGGAAAAAAGGAGGATTTTGCAATTTTTTGAGTCATTTTTTTGGAATTTTCGGAGAAAAAAAAATTTTGTATTATTTTTTCCATATTTGGCATATATGGTCTAAATTGGGTAGAAATTAATTGTTCAAAATTCTAGCTTTTGCTTTTCATTTTCCGCCGAGAAATTCAACGATTTTTGCTGATGAGAGACTATGGAAAATGAGGAGGGTCATTTAGAAAGAAGTTTCTCGTTGTTTCTTTTTCAATTTTTCTGCAAAAAGTATAGTTTTTTCAAGAAAATTTTTATTTTTCTTCTACGAATCGAACAGCACTTTTCGACTCTCAAAATGAAAAAAAAAATTTTTTTAATTTTTTGAATTTTTTTGTCTTATAAATCCACGATATTTCTGAAAAACGCATGTTGCACGTACACTGAATTTTTTTTTCTTTATTTGGGCAAGTTTAATCAAAATTTTAAAATTTTAAAAATTCAAAAAAAGATGCCTTGGTCCCCCCTTACCATTTTTTTCAAGATATTTTTTTAAAATATTTTTCCAAGATGGTAGTAAAATTTGTTCTCTCAAAAAAACCTTCGTCTTATTTTTGATTAAAACTTGGGCAAGTTTAATCAAAATTTGAAAATTTTAAAAATTCAAAAAAAGATGCCTTGGTCCCCCCTTACCATTTTTTTTCAAGATATTTTTAAAAAATATTTTTCCAAGATGGTAATAAAATTTGTTCCCTCAACTACTACACTTTCTTCTTATTGATTTCTGGATATTTTAATATGTTCTTTTTCCGTCTGATTGCGCAACAAAATCACTTCCTTAATTTCCATCCTCTATGACCGATGAATCAGAAGAAAGAATCAGAAATCCTTATGGTCTTTGATTTTTCTTTTGATTCATAAAACAACATCATCTTTACTATATCTTCGATGTCGTAATTAGGGCGAATCAAAAGAAAAAAATTATTTTTTGTTTGTTTTTTTTCTCATAGAACAGAAGAAACATCTAGAACTCTTAAATTCTTACTGTATTTTGAGCGAAAAATAACAAAAAAATTGTTTTTGATGACTCATCAATCCGTTGAAACATTTTTTCCCCGAAATTTTTTTGATGACATCCCGTTTGAGACGCCTTAATATGGGCATTATCAACGAAAAAATCGGTCAATGGGATTCGGGAAAGAAGCCAGTTTGACCTGAGGGCTTTTGGCGGGAAATCTTTTTTGAGAGATTTATGACATTTTTTGACTTTAATGGGGATTTTGCTGTTGCTTTTTATTACTTTTTTTGTATGAAAATTGGGGATTTCTAATTTATTTTTGAAAGTTTTGCTTTTGAAAAAAAGAATAAGGGGGGACCAAGGCATTTTTTTTTGAAAAAATATGATTCTCAGATTTTGATGAAACTTGGATCAAATTTAGATTAGAACTTTCTAAGATATATTTGAGATTTTTAGCCCGCGCTTTGCAGAAACTGCCGAGATTTTTGAGTCGAAAAAGGGCAAAAAATGGAAAAATCTTAGACATTTTAACCTAAAAATCTGATTGGTTTCTGCAAAGCGCGGGCTAGAAATCTCACATGTCTCTTAGAAAGTTTGAAGCTTAATTTTTCCCAAGTTTCTTCAAAATCCGAAAGATCGGATTTTCAAAAAAAGATGCCTTGGTCCCCCCTTACTATTTTTTTTTTTTGAAAGCAAAAACTCAAAATATTTTTCCAAAATAAAGTTTAGATTTATGCCAAATTCTTTCAAAAAATCCCGTCGCACCTCCAACACTTCCTCTTTAACGTAATTTTTTGATTTTTTTGTTATAGCCACTCCTCTCGCGAACAAGTTCATAATAATTGCCTTTGTAATGAGTCCCGCTTAACAAAACGTCGCGATTTTTCCCCTTTCTTCCCATCTTTTTTTGCTTCACCGCACTTTGTGCGATTTCATCAAGAGCCGAAAGCTTATCGCGATCCATCCACGGATTCTCTGGTCGTTTCTCGAGGCGATTCACGTCAATAACACTAATAGCTGGCTTTGGAAAGGGCGAAAATAAGGGGGTATTAGCTTCAACTTGTCGATAATTGAGGGATATTAGGTTGTTTTTTTTTTTGATTATTATTTTTTATTATGCAATAATTGTTGTTCGCTTTGTAGTGAAAAATATTTAGCCGAACATTTTTTTTGGATTTTCCGATTTATTTCAGTTTCCTGTGTGCGAAACAAATTTCAGCCTCAATCAGAAATAAGGTGTAAAATTTTCCTACAAAAAATCAATTTTTTCCAAATAAAATTCAAAAAGTTATAGGCGAAAAAACTTCTTCAACTCCGACCCTCCTCATTTTACATTGACTCTAAAATCGTTTGATATCTCAGCTTTCAATTCAAATCGAAAGTTAAGATTTTGGCAAATCGTTACTCACTCTATACTCTCCTTATATGCCAAATATTAAAGCAATCCAGCCATTTCCCTGTGAGATATCCCTTTTCAAATTTTCACCCCCAAAAGATCTTTGCTCTCAACTTTCTAGAAACTTTCCCCTCAAAATCAGATGATTTATGAGTCTATGATTTAGACCGTCCCATTATATCATCGCTTTTCCCATAATTTCAATCAAACCCCCGTTTCCAACAGCATTCGTTGCCCTATTCTTCGAAGATATATTGCTCATGGATCAATGACTCGCCTCTAAATCGATTATCACCCTATTCTTCGGACGGGCTGTGTCTATTTCCTTATTTGTCCTGTCTAGCGGCGATGTCAAGACCATTATGTCACAGAAATGAATAGAGGGAAGCTCTGGGGCTCGGTATTTTTGGTGGGGCTAAATTTTTATGATCATAGGGTATATTTTGATAAATTAGAAGGGCTCTTGGTAAATTGCCAATAACTTTGGTAGAAAAAGTAGTGTTTTTAAAATTATTGCTTTTTTCTATGGCCCATGAGACTATGTTTAAAATGTACAAAGGATTTTATATTATCTCTTTTAACAGCGGAGATATTTGGATATTATATTAGACATTAAAAATGAAGGTCCTCAAAATTCAAATAGAAATTTCTCAAAGTGCGACGCTCATATTTCCTTGATATTTGGCATGTCTATTCTCAATACCATGGTTAACAATTGGCAAAAACTTTAGCTATCCCTTTAAATATGCTGCTGAGATATTCAACGATCTTTCCAGTAGCCAGCTAGGAAAATAACGCAACTTTCAACTTGAAAATTTCAGCAATCCAAAGGCATTATAGCCCCGCCAGGATTCAAATCGAGCTCTAATATGCCCTACTGACAACAAAAATATTCCTCCTCTAAATATGCGCATCATCTATTGAGAGAAAGTCATCTTTATTTTTGACCTTCACCCCTTACCTCATTAAACCGGGCAGTCGTCTAATTTCAAGAACTCTTACCGCCATCTCGCTACCCCTTAGACCACCCTCATTCGTTATACGGAACGTCCAGTTTGAAACCCTTCCCCATCCATCGGTTCTAAGGATTCCAGAACCCCCCGATCTTTTCGCTGCGCGCCGAAAAAAAAACTTTCCTTTTGTACCTGAACAAACGATCGCCCTCGCCGCGCTCCCTCGCCCTCCCCCCGACGATGAGTAAGGTGCGGCGAGGACGCGGCACCGCGGGTTTAAGAGATGGCTTTTCGATGCCAAAACGAATCGCGGGGTCCGTTGTTCGAAGCGATTTTTCAGCGTTTGGCGACTTTTTCGGACCGAAAACCCGGGTCCCACTTCGAAGTGGGGGGATTCTTCCGACAAAAGGCCCGGCTGAAAGATCGTTCGTTATGGGGGTTGTGGAAGAAAGTTTCTTTTGACACAACAGTTGGCGGCGCTTATGAGGGATGTTTACGTCGGGCTTGAGTGGTTTTTGGACGATACAGTCACATCTGTAAAGTTTTTGATGCACTTTTTTGGAATTCTGATGACTAATGTAATACGCGGACAACCACGAAACTAAATGTTTCTGTTGTAAAATCATTTCGAGGCTGTATAGACCATGCTTCTGGCTGTTATAAAAAATAATCTTCATTTGTATAAATCTGCACAGTGGATCTTAATTTTTGAAATTTACAAATTTTTGGTTGGATTTTGATGTCATGAATAATATTCAGATTTCTTCTTTGGCTTTGAGGGGTTTGAAAATTCCTTAAGAAATTTTGTAGAGGATTCTTTAAGCTGTTAAAAAAAATTAATTGCTTTTTCTCACCATTACTTTCCAACAAGTTATCGCCATATTAATTTAAGTCATTAAAAAATCGAAAAATTACGTATTCATCCAAAAAATCGGTTTTAAAAAAGTTCTTCCCTACTAAATACCCCCAACAAGCATCTCAACGTCTTCTACATTGCTGATCGCCCTCGATTCATCTTATTTTTACTGTTCCCGTCAACATTATCAATACAAAAATCTCGTTTCTCTCTCTCCTGTTGTGAGGTTAGTCGGAGACTTCTTTATAGCGAAAATCATCCCTTTTCGGGAGGGGTTTTGGGGGTAACCTTGGCGACGAAACCCTTGGAAATTGTCGTATTCCAGGTATTTTTATTATTTCTTTGGGAATTTTAATTAACTCTCAACTCGATTGGTCGTAAACTGTGGGAGCGAGAGGGTAACTGATTATAAATGGTTTCCAAAACGTTTTCGTAATTTATATGGGTTCATGCGCGTTTTGTCGCCTTGTTTGTAGCTTTAGCCAGCTAAATCACTTTCGAAATATCATATGTTCAATTGCAAAATCATCTACCGTCCTTCGCAAGTCTTTTGCTTCCATTTATGATCATCCCCAGCTGTTGATTCATCCGAATATATTTGCTTCTTATTATAACCCTATTCCCAGGCCTTTTTTTGCGAATTTCCATTTCCAATCACACTGTTTACGGTCAGCAAAGTCTCGGCATAAAGGAAGAGAGTCTAGGGTATCTTCTGAGAGTTATTCGAGACAAAGAAAAGCCTAATATTATACTTGACGAGCAGTTTTTGCGATTTGGTGACATGATGTCAAGTGTAATATAAAAAAGAGCTCGGTATATGTTTTAATCATTGCCAATAGAGTCTCTTTAGTATGCTAAAGATTTTGAATACCTTATAAAAGAATTAGAATATCAATTTGTCAAGAATATTATCCATGAAGGCCAATTTTTCAATTTGATGACTTAATGTCATGGTTAATATAATTTTGTGTCAAATTGAGACTTATTCATCTTTTCTTACTGTGATAACTGAATAACAGTGTCTATGGTACATTCAAAATTCATTTTCACATCCATTTACACATTACATTATCCTTACCACTTCTTTTTCTCAATTCTTTCACTTGATGTCATGTGCAACACAAGTGGAGGCTCGAAATGCCTCTTACTCATCCCGAAATGCATATTTTTCCATTTCCTGCACGACCCCGGTCCAACAGGTCGCTCGGGTGTCCTTAATGAGCGAGCCCACATGTCCCGTCGCCCGACCTCCACCTCCCGATCAACCCTTGGTTTGCCCCGTCTAAAACTCCCTGCCCGACCATCTAAAGGCACCCATTCCATAAGGGCCCTCGCTCAATTTTTTTGCATAAAACCGCACTGGCAAAGGTCAAAGTCTCGGCGCGTTTGGGGAGGCGATCCGCCACTAATGAGCTGCGCCGAAAATCGCACAATTTCCCAGGGAAAAAGGTCCGAAAAAAGTTTTTGCGCGGCTTATTATCCACATTCAGCGCCACCGAGTGCTAGAATTAACTGCTTTATTGGATTTTTGTGGCCTTTGGACCATCTTTTTGGCTAATATCATGCTCTAGACCATCTTTTTTTGAGTTAGACCACTTGGTTTTGCATAAATAATGTTTTCCAATTTTGCATAAATAAAATCTGCCAAGATTTCCGGCGGAAACGAGCCGTGGAAACTTGTGGCCACTCCCGAGGTCATTTCGTCGACCCTCAAATTTGTTAAGCCCACTTGAATTCCGAGTCAAGTGGACTTTCTGGGAATTCGCGGAAATTTAAATAAATTTACCATTTTCTCGCGGAAAATAATGGCTAGAGTTGATGCTTGGGGTTCTAAATTTTGTTTGACAGCATTATTTTCGCTTTTCTGAAGATTTTTCGCATTTTAGACAGCAATTTGAAATTTCCAATAATTTTTTGACACTTCGTCGCATTCTTTGACATTCCGTCTAAATTGTTTTCTCGTTTATTGTTTGGTTGGGGGAAGCTAAAATTGGACGATTCCCTTGATTTTCTTCAATTTTTTTGACTAATTTGCATTCATTTCCAGGCCATGCCCCTTCCCAACGGCCAACAGCCACTCCGCATTCCTCAGCCCCCATCGCACAGCCGCCAAAACTCGGCGCTCGGACAACGATACCGGCATTGTGCGACGCCGTCCACCTCGTCGCTGAGTTCCGTCACAACATTCCCCGCTGTGCCCGTCCAACCGCAATCCTCCGTCACCTCGTTGCCCGTCTACAGCAGCGAACCGGGCGTGAATCGACGGGTCTATCCGCAAACGCAGTCAACGTCGACGTTGCCCACCCGAAGAAATGAGTACAACGCCGCGAATCGACAGAATTTGGAGAGAATGAGGTATGTTGAGCTTTGTTATTGGTTTGTTCTTGTTTTCAGATCAGGCGGGTTGGGATTTCTTACGAATAAAAAGAGTTTTCATCGATATTATTCATGGTAGATCAGGTCTGAGAGTTTTGGTTGTTTCTCAGAATCTGCTGGTTATTTTTTCTAGATTTTTCTAGCAAACGTCCAGTATAGTTTTTCATAGCTTTAGTTATGATTTTAGGGTTCCTTTGACACTTTGCACTTTAGGAATTTACATTAGGTTTATGTTTTGTTTAGGTCTCGAAATTTTGTTTTTTGCCTAAAATTTTATGTATTTTTTGGCTAGACTTTTTTACTGAGTTATTTTTACGACTTTCCAAAGGTCTCAGAAAATTTTTACGGCTTGAACTTGGATCTCCATATTGGGATATTACTTTAGACTCAGATGTCCGCCTCCAGTAAAATTTGATATTCTTTTACTTTCATTTGCATTTAAATCTCTTCCATGCCCCTTTAAATTGCCCAGTGAACCTTTGTACGTCACATTTACCCTTTAAAATTTCGTTGACCATCAATTTGCATCGCTTTCCCCATTACTCACTGATAATCGCCAAATGAATCAAAAATTTCGGGGTTTTATCGTCGATTTTACAGCGCAGTTTCCGGTGCTTTTGCCCGTTTTGGAATGGGAAGAGATCTCATAAAATAATACGATGCAAATTTCCTTCCAATATCTTTTTTGTTCTGCACTGGAAATTAGTTGTATTTTCCGTGGGGGTTTTTTGCATCTTCCAGTTATTTTTTGTTTTGTTGTTGTTCTTCAGAGTGGTCGCATGGTTCCTTATTTAGTTGGGAGTGGAAACGGGTTGATTTATGGCCTTTTTGAAACATTTTTTGGCTGGAAAAGGGGAAAAATTGAAAATTTTTGAAGTTTTTTCTAACAAAGAAAGTACTTCTATGGGGTATGGAGTTACAGGTCGAGACATATCAAAAAAATCGCAAAATTTTTCGGATTCAGATTGTGCAAAAATTAGCTGCCCAATTTTGGTTTGTAAGGGCGAAAAAATCCTCAGAACTTTTCTCGCAACACCACGCAAATGCATTTTTGACCAATTTTTTACCAAATCAAAAGCTTTGTTTGGAGCTGAAGTAATCCCTGGCATCTTGACAAGCCTTAAAATATCAAATTTGATTAATACTACACCTTAATTGGAACTACTAATTAAGGTGTAGTATTAATCAAACTTGATATTTTAAGGCTTGCCGAGATGCCAGGGTTTACTTTAGCTCAAAACAAAGCTTTTTATTTGGCAAAAACTTGGTCAAAAAGACATTTGTGTGGTGCTGCGAGACAAGTTCTGAAGATTTTTTCACCCTTACAAACCAAAATTGGGCAGGTAATTTTTCCATGTTCTGAATCCGAAAAATTTTGCGATTTTTTGATATATGTCTCGGCCTGTAACTCCATACCCCGTAGAAGTACTTTCCTTGTGAAAAACTTCAAAAAATTGGAAAATTTTTGAATTTTTTCTCAAATTTGTGTTTTTTTAGTTACAACGACTTGATGGACTTGGCAAAACGTCAACAATTGCAACTGCAGGCACAACGATCCGAATTCGAAGACCGCCGGCAGCAACAAAACGACTTTTTCCACGCCAAATCCAATGGATTGAATGTCCCGGAAGAGGTGAATAATCTCCGCCAACAGATCCGACTGGACGAAGCCCAACTCCAACGGCAAGCCAACGCCCGCAGAGAGGTGGAGGAACTGGTCAGGCAGAACGAAATGGCCAGAGGGCAATTGAAACGCCTTGAGAATCAATACGATGCCACGGATCAGTATCTGAGGCAAGCCACCGCCAAAGTTCACACTCTGAAACAACAAATGGACCAGCTGCAGGCGAGAAGGGCCGCTGCGGCCAATGCCGCGATCGCACAGCAGCGATTGGTCAACGTGAAGGGCAACAGTGAGAATGATGGGATCTACGGGCAGATCAAAAAACCGGCCGCGGTTCGGCCGCAAGCTCAAATTGGACCTTTCCAAGTAAGATTCGGTCTTTTAGAGTATTTTTATTGTATTTAGAGTAATTTGGTCTGTGTTTACATTGTTAAATTTGGATTTCTCACTATAATTTACCTTATTTTAGGTCCAAATTGCTCAAACTCGCCTTGTCAACGAAAAACCCCCTCCGCCGTCGTATGATCAAGTTGATGCCTCAGCGTAAGGACATTGGCTATCTTTTAAACTTATTTTTTAATTGATTGAATTTGGGATTTTGCATTTTTTGACCTTATTTTAGCTTGATCCCACCTAATTTTTCATTTTCAGCTATCACAGCCTGGAAAAGTCGCATTATCACCCCATCGGCCGCCGCGTGGCCCATGCCCCTACCCCAACCTACAACGAGAACCCGTGGATCCTGCGAACGCCCGCCGTCGACAACTTTAGCATCCGAAATGACTCCCTGAAAGCGGCGAAACGACGCTCTTGGGCCCACGTCGACCCACCCGAGAAGCTCCGCGCCGGCGAGGATGTGTACGGCACCAGCTCGAGCGGCAACTCAATCCTCAAGAAAATTGTTGAGGAGCAAAAGAAGGGCCGCCGACAGCTTTCGTTGGCCTCGATCTTTGGCCGGACGAAGAAGGTTGAAGATAAGAAGAAAAAAGTGGAAAAAGAGAAGAAGGAAATATCGAAACCAATCATTTTGGACAATAATCAGAGAGTATCCAGCCCACAGTTGGTCCCCAGAGATGTTGTTGGCATGGAATTGGCGAATCGACAAAGATTTGGCGAAAATTCGGCGGAAAATCGCCTGAAATTTGAAGAAAGCGAGAAAAATCGGCCGAAATTCCCAGTGAATTTGAAGGACAATGCTTACAAGGCGGATAGAATGACTCCTACTGGTGTTAGAGTAGAGAATCGACCAGAATCCAATGGATTCGCAGAGCAGAAAAAACTAAAATACGATCAGAATTCGAAGGATGAGGAGGAAAAGGTGTGGAGTCAAGATCAATTTAATAGAGTGAAGTTTGATGAGAGCCGGCAGAAGTTTAATTCTAAGCAAAGCAATGGGTTATCGGCGGTGAAATCGGCGGAGAGCCAGCCAAAAGCCGTGAAGGACCTAAATCAAGGTAAAATTGAGAAAGACGAGCTCGCACCGATCGTTGTGGCCGAATGCGATTCGGACAAGGAACTCAATGAAGAGCCAAGCCCATCAACCTCGACTCAGAGCACTCCGCCGGAGCCTCCGACCTTCAAGGAAAAGGAAAATGAGGATATTGTGTTATCCATGAAGGACAAGGAGAAGATTGAGAAAAATTCGAATGAAAAAGAAACGAAATGTGAGGAGATTGTGGTCGAGAATGAAGAACAGACTGTTGTTGATCGGATTGAGGACAAAGAATTAGAAGAAGACCCGGACAAGCAACGGCTAAGCTCGGTTTCGCCCCCGGAAGACCCAAAAATCAAGGAAAGTGTCTTTGATGAGGAAAAAGAGGACTGGAAAGAGTCGGATGAAGAATATGAAGAGACTGTACACTCTCCTAAGGTCGTGATAGAGACACTGACAACCGATGAGCACGCTATGCGAGAAGCAACCAAGGAAATTATCGAACAAATGCAACAGCTCACCTACGAACCCAAAAGCATCATTATTGGCGAGGACGACGAAGAAGACGAGAAAAATTTGTTCCCAATGGAAGCTCAGAGCTCCACGGAAGAGATCAGCTCCAATGATGAGAGTGTTTCAACGACGGACGAGTTTTTGGTAAGCATTTTTTAATTTTTGGGGGTTGGATTTTGTTTTAGCCTAAAATAAGGTGATTTTGTAAAAATTTTTAGATTTTTGTTTCAAAATTGTTTCTAACCTGGTTGATTAACGACTCTTCTATTCCAGTTTGACGAAATCTCTCGCCCATCCCTCAAGGGAATCCTCAAAAGACAGACGGATCAAAAGAAGCCCAAGAAGAAGATGGTCTTTGATCCATTGGTCCTTTTCTTGGACGCTGCACTGGAGGGCGACCTCGATTTGGTCAAAGAAAAGGCCGCGGAAATCCCGGATATATCTGGAGGAAGCGATGAGGGAATTACGGCTCTTCATAATGCTATTTGCGCGTCACATATCGATATCATCCGGTATTTGATCGCCAATAATGCAGATGTGAATGCACAGGTAAGATGGGGGGATTTTTGAAGGGGGTAGGGTATGAGGGGATCCTAGAGGGTCTGGGTTGAAATTTTTGAGGCAGGTGGGGTAAGGGGGGATCGGGATTTTTTATATTTTAGGAGAGAAATGGAAGAGGACCTGATTTTTTTTGTTTTTCTTTTGAAATTTTGATACTATTAGATGAAAAAGGTGCCTGAAAGTTTGTAATATTCAATTTTGATTATCTGAAATTCCAATTTCAGGACGCGGACGGCTGGACCCCTCTGCACTGTGCCGCTTCTTGCAACAACTTCCCCATTGCCAAGATGCTCATCGAAAATGGCGCATGTGTCTTCGCGACCTCGTTGAGCGACGGAGAGACCCCATCGAACAAATGTGAAGCCTCCATCGATGGGTACGGCGGTTGCGCGGACTTTTTGGCGATTGTGGAAAAGTGCATGGGCATCATCAATAATGGAAAGGTAAGAGGAGCTCAAATAATATAATTTTTGAAAGTTCTTGAATTTATTTTTGGATTTTAAAGTGTATAGTTGATTTTTGAAGGGAGATGAGAGTTTTGGAGGGAGATTTTGTAAGTGGTGTAAGATGGGGCCATTTTTGAAATTTTTTTTTATTTATTTTTTTTTTTGATTTTTTTTTGAATTTTGATGTGAGAGTGTAATGTTGACGGTAGAAAAGTAATTTTTGATCAATTCCAGGTCTACACCGCCTATTCCTACGAAGCCAACAACGACGACGAGCTCAGCTTCCAGGCCGGCGAAGAATTGAAAGTTTTGAACAAAGACACCGGAGAAAAGAACCATTTCCACTACCAACGGCTCTACTACCAAACCCCGGACCCCTCCCTGTATGAGGACTCGTTGTGGTGGCTGTGTGAAAACCGCAAAGGCCAGAAAGGCCTGGTCCCGCGCAACTTTTTGACCCTCTTCCCGATCTGGAAATTTGTGGAAACGCTGAACTTCAAGCCTTTCAATCTCCCCTCAAATGAGCTGGCCCTGGACGCGGCACTCAAGGAATTGACGACGGATGCCCGCAGGGAGTCATCGTCGACGTTGGACCCCAATGATGCAACCAATTCCACGACGAGCTCCATTTCCAACGAGAAACGCCAGGACGACCAAAACAGCCAAACTTCGACCTCTTCCCTGGAGGAACCCGAGTCCCCACCCCCACTACCACAGCCTCAGGACTTTGATCAGCCATCGCAGATCCGCGCCAATGCATAGGCCCCGCATTTTTGGGAGTTTCAGACCTTTTTTGATGTTGTACTTGACATTAGATGGAAATTTTCCCAAATTTTGATCGAAACAAGTGATTTTGAACAAATTTTTGAATTGAGAATATAGCAGGTAGTGTGATGTATTATAAAGAATGCCATGATTTTTTGTCTAGAATTTGGACTTACTTTTTGAGAGTTTTTTTGAGGAGAAAGCTCGGCTTTTGAGTGTAATTTGAATTTGAACCTAATTTTTCGTGTTAGCCCAAAATTCTTTGGTCCCATGTACAAGCAGACCCCTCCCACAGCGTCCGCCTCAACGCCTGAATCCCAGATTTTTAATTAACTCAGGTTTCCATAGAGAATATACCATATTTTAATAGCCTTTTTTAGCGATTGTTCCCCCAAACTTTGCATGTCCAATGTAATGTATTAAAGAGATGTTATCAATAAATCAATGTTATTAACCGAAAGAATATGTTGTAAAATACGTTTTAAACTCGTTGAAAATCCCGATTTACATTAATATGTAGTTTTATTCGATAAAATTTACATTTTTTCCATTTTTTTACTCCGGGATTAAAATTTGACCGAAAAACGCCTCCGGCACCGTGGCCGGCTGGTAAAACGTATCACAAAATAACAAGATATGTGTGCAAATCGCTTGACAATAGACGTCCGTATGTTTGGAAATATGAGAGGGATACTGTAACAAGAAACGCTGGGGATTCGCACAAAATTCCGAAAAAGCTTGAGATTACTGTAACAAAAAACTCGAAATGACTAGATTTGGGGTTCATAGGAGACCTAATGGGGGTGTAAAGCCGGGAAGATCGAATTTGAGATGGGGATTACTGTAGATTGGGAGAAATTGAGATTTTATTATATTAGACTAGATAAGGGAGGTGGTGAAAATTAGATGCTCGGATTGGCGTCAAATTTTGAACAAATGATCTATATAGATCGTATATGAACGGTTGAAAATTTGAGCTCAAAATTCAAAGGTAACTCCGAGATATGATAATTTTTTAGTCCAAACTTCTGCTCTAAAAATCTCTATGGTTTGTGGAAAGCGCGAGCTAAAAATTTCAGAAATTTGATACTAAATTCTTATCTAAATCTGCGCCAAATTTCAACAACATCTGAGCATTTTGATTTTCCCCTCCCTTCCTCTGCGAAATTACATTATTTTAGACGAAAAACGTGGTAAAAGTAACATGTCTTATGATAAGTTGGAGTCAATGAGCAAGTATTTGACGAGAAAGAATGACTAGTACAAAGAAATTTTTCCAAATTGAGTGGTTGGAGATCGCAAAAACGTTTGTAGAAGAAGGTTTCAGTAGTTTTGACGCGTAATCAGCGGCGACGACGCCGAAATATCCGTTTCCTCCGGCTCCAATTCATTGGACGTTTGGGAGAGCGTACCCCGTTTCTCGATGGCATGCTGATGCACAAGACCGCCATTGCCGGTCGGGGCGTCCTGAAAAAATTTTGGGATTAGAACTTGAAAAAGTGGGTAAGGGGGGACCAAGGGGGAAAATTGAAAAAAAAAATTCAGGTGAAATTTTTTGATTTTCTCCAAATTTTGTATACACACTCAGAATAGTATGCAAATCAATCACTGAAAATTTTAACTTGCAGTTTGCAAGAACAGCTGAGATTTTGAACGTTCTTTTTCCGAGAGAGCACGTGAAATGAGGAGAGTCGGCTAGACAATTTTTTTTATTTTGACTGTATAGCTTTGCGAATTTTTCTCTGAGCAGATTGATTTTTGTGGAAACATTGTTCACGTCATTTGTCATAGATCCTAAAATTTCAAAGCTGGAAACCAAAAAAAAAATCGAAATTTTTTGGAATTTCCAAGCTTAAAATCACGGAAATTTTTGTAAATCACTGGCTGAAAGTTCTGAAAATGCCTTCAGAAAACGCGTTCTTAATTTTTCTCAAGTTTCAGCGAAATTAGAAAAAAAAATTTTTTTTGGGGTACCTCGGATTCAAAATTTTTTGCCTTGGTCCCCCCTTTGCTTTTTTTGCAAAAAAAAAATTTCTAAAAAATTTTTTGCTACGCCAATAATTCCACGAAACCATTTTCGAAAAAACTTACTGAGCTCCTCTGAACATGCAGCACGTGCTCCGGTAGCGTTATGGCGGTCGCTTGCACACTGTATCGCTTCGGGTTGGCGGGCGACGAGATCTTCGGCTGATGGAAGGGCGGATGGCTCGAGTTGGGCGGGAAATTGTTGTACGCCGAGCTGGGCGGGCTACTATAAGCAGCATGGGTTACTGTAGTTTGCGGGGAGAGAGTGCCGTTCGGCGCGGGATTGGGCTGTTGTTGGCCGAGAATGACGGTCTGAAGGTCGCCGATTCGTTGAGTGAGCAGGTCGATCTGACTGATAAATTGGTCTTGAGTGCGATGCATCTCCCACAGGGTCTCGTGCATCTCGTTGTGAAGCTGAAATGCGAAAAATCAAATGTGAAAAAGTAGTCTCAAAATTTTTTGCAAAATTTTTTGGATTTTTTTTTCAAATTTGATTTCATCAAAATTCGACCGGTCGATTTTCGTAAAATTTTGTCAACACGGTCTGAGGAGCCCACAAATCAATCGCTAAAAATTTTAGCTTATGATTTGCCAGCAAACCCGAGATATTCACTGGTCTTTGCGGACGAGAGACTATGGAAATTTAGGAGATCAGCTAGAGAAAATCTAGAAAATCTTTTTTTTCTCATCGTTTTTGTCTTTATCATGACGAATTTGAAGGTTAGTAAACGTGTTCGCGACTTTTAGAAGCAACATTGGCGATTTTTCTGGGAGAAAAATTAGAATTTTTTTTGATTTTTTTTTTGAAATTTCGCCTTTTTTCTCCAATAATTTTCCCACAAAAGCTCGCTAAAAATTCAATTTCTCACCTTTCCAATATCCAACAGCGAATTTCCCCGTTCCTGGAGCTTCCTTTGGTCCCATTTGATCCTCCTAAAGTCATTGATTGCATTCAAAAATTTCCTTTGATGTTGTCGCAGCCTCAAATCATCGCCTTTGTTCGCTGAGCGCTGATATCGATGAATAAACCAGGTGTGTTGCAACACCGAGGCAGCCGCATTCTTCCGTTGATTCGTCAATTTCGAGTCGGCCATAAAGTTGTTGACATGCTTTTCGGCGCGGGAAAGCTCGAGTTTGCGGGAAATTACGGCGATTAAGGCCGATGAGACGCCCGCCCCAACGATTCCGGTTAATACAGCGAGAGCGCGACCCACATAGGTCCTCGGAACCACATCTCCATAGCCAATGGAGAGGAAGGTGACGATCACGAACCATAAAGAGTTCATGTAGTAGTGCTCGAAGGGACGTTTCCAGCTGAAAAATTTAGATTGATATTTTTTTAAATTATCAAAAAAATTGACTTTTTGGTGCTGTAAAATACTCAAAAAAATTTCCAAAGCACTGTAAAAAATTCTGTGCACTATCAAAACAATGAAAAAATTGTTTTTTTTTTTGTCAAGAAAATCTCTGGTCAGCAGCGAAAATTTGAAGCTCAATGCTCGGTAATCGACCGGTCGATTTTCTTCAAATTTTGCCAAGACTTTCTACCTGGGCCACAGATAAATCTCTGCAAATTTCAGCCCATTCTTTGAAGGCCCAGCCGAGATATTGAACAATATTTGGCAAGCGAGAGACTATGGAAAAAGAGGAAAGACGGTCAGAGAAAAGAGCTGTTTACAGCCGTTCTTTGGAAGTTTGAGCTATGATTGCTTTTAGACTCGCAAAATTTTCAAAGATAAAGACCGATTAAGTTCTTTCTCTGACCGCCTCTCCTCGTTTTCCATAATCTCTTGCCTGCGAAAGATTCTTCAATATCTCCGCTGTACCTACAGAGGATGGGCTGAAACTTTCAGGAATAAATCTGTGATCTACATAGATTGTGTTTGCAAAGTTTGATGAAAATCTGAGAGTTGAGAGTTTCAGAATTTTTTAATAAGTTTTTTTTTTAATTCAGGAAATCCTCGGATTTCAGAATGAAAAAATTGAAATTCGAGATTTTTCTATAGTTAAATTGACTGTGTTCCTTATTACGACAAGAAAAGTTTGAATTTTTCGATTTTTTTTTGAAAAAATACGATTTTTTTTTTCTAAAAATCTCAAAATTCAATGTGTATCTATAACTTACCGTTCACACTGAGTGAAAGCCCACGACGCGCACAGCCAATAAATCATAGTAAACATGATCAGAACCCTCAGCGGATGATCGGACATCATCGTCTTGACGACGAACCAAAAGTCCATGGAAATCCGGTTCAACGCGGCTATAGAGCGCGTTGCAGCGTCTTGGAACTGCCGTGAATGCAGGACCATGAACCGACAGAACAGGTAGACCCGAAGGTACATCGGGATGGACATGATGACGTCCATGGGGACGGGGACGGAGCTCACTTGATGGTCTTCGTCGACATACGTCCAGTTGACGATCCCGCTGCCGGGAAAGGGGCAAATTATGCAAATCAAAATCTCAATGCTCAGCTTGATCAGGCGGTCGGTGCTGACCGCCACACGCCAATCATCGGCGCCGCTGTCGATCAGGGCTATTTTAACTTCAATTCGATGGTAATTGATGATGGTCCCGATCAACATTGCGGTGGAGATCAGGGCGAGCGATCGAAGGGCAATTGAGGGGTATTCCATCTGAAAAATCGAAAGTAGGGTCTTACAAAAAACGTGAAGGAAAGTGGAAGGCTATAACTTCCGGCTGAGGCGGTGCAGAGACTTCGTATTTGAAATATGTATTTTTAAAAGGCATAAGTTTTTGTCTACGAAATAAAAAACTTTTAGAGTGCAAGCTGACGTCGCTACGACCTTCTGAAGTAGAGGCATCTCTACCCCGAAAACCAGGTTTTTTCGGTTGAAAATGATCGAGAAATTTCGAACTTTTTCGGTTGAAAATCACCAGGAAATGTCGGATTTTTTGGGGGCTCTAATGTCTTTTAAAAATACATATTTCAAATACGAAGTCTCTGCACCGCCTCCGCCGGAAGTTATAGCCTTCCACTTTCCTTCACGTTTTTTGTAAGACCCTGTATTTATTGAAGCGGCGTTATTTGTCGGGAAAATAATGAGCACAATGAATTGAATACGCAGTGAAAAAATTATTTGGAATGAAAAATGAAAATTTAATTTTGTGAAGATTGATTTTTGCTCGGCGAGAAAAAGTATGGTAAGGGGGGACCAAGGCAAAAAAAATTTTTTTTTTTAATGGAGCGCTTGAAGCTCCAATTTTGATGAATCTTGTCGCAAATTTAGATTTGGCCATTATAACACAACTGCGAAATTTTTAAATCGCGCTTTGCAAACTATCAATATTTTTATTCGGAAAATGCCAAAGAATGCCTTTTTTATATTTTGATGCAATTGAAATGACGACTTACCTTTCCAACAATGTTGAGTGCTGTAATCTCCGTGTCAATGACCACCAGAATTAGGCCGACCAGGCCGAGAACCAACGAGAAATCGCAGCATTGATTCCTCTGTTGGAAAAGCTGCTTCCTTTGGCGACAGCGCATTTTCGCGGTGGAGTCACTGAAAAAAATAGATTAATTATTATATTTTACACTCAGTTTTGTCAATTTGAAACTACTACTAGTAACTATTTTGATATATTTTTATATTTTTAACCAACTTTTTAAACTTACTTTGTTCCCTGATATTTTAAAATTTTATCAAATTTTAAAGTGCCAAATCAACCGCCTACTATCGAAATTTTGATAAAAAAATAATTGACAGGTCTCGTCGAAATATGTTTTATGAGAAATCTCGGAAACAAGAGAGTCTTTGGTCAAAAAATTAAATTTTTATTAAAGGACCAGAAAAGGTATTTTTTGAACCGATTTTTTTATCGGCGTAATCAGGCAATTTCGTGGCGGGACCATCAAGGGATAGATGTGTTCTCGATTTTTGGAATGGAGAATAAAATTCTCCTGCGAATTTTAAATGGCCGATTGGCCAGAAACATTGCTTTACATGTTCAATAAGATGGGAAATGTCCAGGAGCTCCATCTGAAACGTCTACGTAAGTTTATTTCATGTCTTTTAGGCTTGTATTTGACTCTTTTCTCTTAGAAATGCCAGAAAACGGTTCTGTGCATGTTTATGTAGCAAGGAAACCTAAATACGACCACATTTTGATCTTGATATTTGCAACTTGATTTACCGGAGCTCCTTTTTCCGCCTTGATAAAATTTTATACATTTCTACAATTTTCTTTTTTAGGTATCTAAAAGAAGGTTTCGATAAAAACAGATTGAGATCCGGGATTCATGGATGACCGAGAGAAAGAAATATGGTGGACAGGTGAGAAATTTTATTTTTTGTTCATTTTTTAGATAAAACAATCGACGAATTTATCCATTGGGCCTGAGGGGAGAAATTTTAGATAGAATTTTGGATATTTTTCTGCTTTTCTTGCGCAAAATTTTGTGAGATGTTGACCTGGCACGTAACAATTCTGCTGCTTTTTTACAAGCTGCAGTTCTATAGTAACACAAAAAATAGATAAACTGAGGTCATGGATAATATCGAGATTCGGGCTAAAATATCTACTGGACCTTTTGGTTTTGTAAATTTTCTTTTAATTTCAGATTCGTGCTACGTCGTGAAAATACAACGACGCTGGCCATGGATACAACGATGCTGGCCATGGCAAGAACGGAGCAATCAGTACGGACAATTTCCCGCGAAGTTGAATCTCTGTTTCCATCTAATCTTATTAATAAAAACTTTGTTGGTCTGCGGATTGTGTTTCAGCTTGCTAAAGCGCTTGACCCTTGTTCGAAGGAAATTTATTGTTGGAGATACCTAAAACTGAAGAAAACTGGATAACAGAAAGAACTGAACTAAACACCGAATAGATAAATCAAATAATCAACTTTTATAACCTTTCGGAGCCTGAAATTTCAAATAGGTCCTGAAAGACGGAAAAAATGTGATTTTGCAATTCTCCATCAAGTACAACATCAATTTTTCACTTATATGAGGATTCTCGATGGGGTTACTGAAATTACGCGCCTTGTTCAGCACGTTTATCAATGATTCTGGGCCAATTGGCCATTTAAAATCCCCATGAAGATTTTATTCTCCATTCCAAAAATCGAGAACACATCTATGCCTTGATAGTCCCGCCACGAAATTGCCTGATTACGCCGATAAAAAAATCGGTTCAAAAAATACCTTTTCTGGTCCTTTAAGAGTCATCATGGGTAACATGTGTCTTTTTGATGTAATAAAAAGCTGTCTTTTAGGGCAAAAAATACCTAAATTTTTAATTTTTGCTACTGTGGTACCGAAATATAACTATTTTTTTAAGCCGTATTTTTTGGAATTTTTTAAAAATTAAAAAATTTTTTTTTTTCGATTTTTATGTAGCTTTTTAAAACACAGTTTCCTAATATTGTATTTTTTGCTATTACGGTATTTTTTAATGATTTTTTTCTCGATTTTTTGCCCCTTTCCTTGCCTTAGGACCAATTGTCTGATGAGACGCAAAATCAGATTCCATGACGCCATTTTTGCACCGGAAAAAGTCGGGGATTTCTCTCCAAATACCTACTAATCATCGATAAATATTTTGCAAATCAAATTTCGCGGATATTATGGAAATAAAAAGATCTAAAATTTGAATATTCAAATTTTTCAAAAAATTAAAATTGAGGAATAATTATTAAATTCAGAGAGTTTTTAGTCAGGAGTCAATATTAGACAAATTTTTAGGGTCTCTGCGATGTTTTTTACCCAAAGTTTAAAGTTTTAAAGGTAAGATGACTAAGATAACAGTTAAATTTGCATAATTTTTCGTCTCAAAATACTTTTCGAACCCACTTGATTTTCGGCGAAACTCCCAAGAACGTCAAGAATAGAGCACACATTCTACGCAATACAGAATACTGAACAAGCTTTCGGGCCGGTTATCCATAGAGACTGGGCATATGTTGAATATTACATGCCAATAAAGCGAGGAAAAACAATTCCGGCGGTTCAGGGATCATGGAGGCTTTAAAAAGACTTTCGGACCCATAAATTTTAGTGATTTTGAGTCTTTGAGGAAGTATAAAAATTCTTGCAAATGCCCGGAGGCATATTGCGGAATGACTTCATAATTAAAAACTTTAATTTTTGGCTCAAATTTGATTTTGAAAAATTGAATGACTGTTTTTAAAAACATTTAAGAGCCTTAAAATTACTGTAGGCAAAAATAGAAGTGCGAAAAACACATCAAAATGTAATTTTCTTCAACTACAAAAGCTCTTTGTCCTTGATTAATATAATGTTTTTCGGACTTTGAAGGGGCCAAATCCGCTTGGAATACGGTTTGTTGATGTTTTTGAGTAGTTGTGGTTGGTTAGAGAAAGAGAAAAAGAATAGAACGATTTTTAAAAAATGGAAAAATGGTAAGGGGGGACCAAGGCAAAATTTTTCAAGAAAAATTTTTTTTTTGTTTTTTCGAGAAACTTTCCGCAAAGTTAGAAAAAGAATTTTATAACACATATTTGAGGTTTTTAGAGCGCTTTGGAAAAATCGCCGAGCGTTGTACATCAAAAAAATTTTAAATAAAAATTTTTTTCAAGGCTTTGTTTACACGTTCCCCCAAAAAAAATGAATTTTCTTCTGTAAAATTTGAAACGTTATAGCGATAAAAGATGACACAATTTTTTTCCAAAATCTTTGCAAGTTAATCAACCCCTTTTGGCTTGTTTATCCCCGAAAAGTCGAAAAATGCCACCAAAAAAGATTTAAAATTACGTTTCTCGCAACCCACAGTTTTATGACGTCTTCAGCTCTAACTCTATTAATTCCAATTCAACCCGAACTCTCAAGAATAAAAAATGAATGAAAAAATAACCTCAGGGTTTTTCTCTCTCTTCCCACCCGTTCTTCGGAAATTATGGGCCTAGAGCGTTCCCAGGCCATAAAAAAATCTGGTCTTAACCGACAACAAAGTCCTACGAATGTATTTACTGCAATGTCAAATTACTACTTTTACAGAATTAACGTTGATTTTTGGGGGAAAACAAGTTTTTAAAAAAGCATTTTTTACAGGGTGGGGCATCTTTGTGGCCCGATTTGAATTGACTATAACTTCTTTAGTTTTTGGCCAAATTTTAAAATTCTTTTTTTCCCTGAATCGTCAGCCAACCCCATTTTGTTTGATACCAAATATGTTATACATAGTAAGTGTATATCTACAGTTATTGGATTTATTCTTAGAGTTCATTTTTTCGGTCGTTTTTCGGTTGTTTTTTCGGTCTTTCCCGGTGTGTCCGAAAATGGAGTCCGGTGTGGAAGAAAAGGCTTGGTCTGTGGTTTGGTGTAGCAAGTACGGTTCGGCGATAAATTTTCAAACGGGGATACCGCATAAAATACGGACGTAATGCCTAACCTCAAGATCGCAAGACAATTCGACGTTCGTGGAATAAGTTTCTTGAGACTGGCAGCGTTAACAGGAAACAAAAAAAGCAGGAAAGATGGGTATGAACGGAATTGAAAATTGAAGAAGTTTTGTCAAAATTCCGAGAAAATCCGCATATGAGTACACGAAGTTTGGCCAGAACCGAGGGAATGCCTTCACCATGGACCATTCGACGAACTCTGGAGGTTGATCTTCACTTTTTGTTCTTATTCTCATCGTCGATTTTCGGGAGGGTAAATTCCACCGTATTTTTCTTCCATACCGTGCTCCATTTCCGGACACACCGGGAAAGACCGAAAAAACAACCGAAAAACGACCGAAAAAATGAACTCCAAGAATAAATCCAATAACTGTAGATATACACTTACTATGTATAACATATTTGGTATCAAACAAAATGGGGTTGGCTGACGATTCAGGGAAAAAAAGAATTTTAAAATTTGGCCAAAAACTAAAGAAGTTATAGCCAATTCAAATCGGGCCACAAAGATGCCCCACCCTGTACTATGTAAAATTTAAAAAAAAATTAGTCTTTAAAATTAAAAATTTTTTTGTACTTTAGTAAAAATATTAATTTAAAAAAAATATTTAATTTTTCAATAAATTTCCCCCATTTTTTTACAATTCTAGCGCCCTTTTCCTACAAACATTGGTTCAGAACCAAAAATTACCCCCAAAACCAATTGTTGGACTTCCATTCCCAACAATTAAGCCTCAACCCCTCAGGCAATGTGCGCTAAATTCGATAAGAAAGGGTTCATAAGTCCCAAAAATTCGGTTAAGTATCAAGAAGTAAGTCGTTTTATGGCCCACATAAAACTGCGGGACACCCAGAGGGGGAATGCGAAAAGAAATGTAATTGTTACAAGGAAGGGGGGTCAAAAGATGCGATTACTCTCCAAAGAGGAATCCAAAGTTTACGAACTTGGTGTCTGCGCTTTATAAGGTCACGTAGAGTACATTGAAGACGTAATGTAAGACTTTAAAAGGTCAAGCTATTACTTGAACACATGAAAAAAAATTTAAGCCAAAAACTTGAGCGAATGGAAAAAATGGCAAATTGCCCTAAGGGGAATTTATCAATATTCTGCAAATTTTGCACAAACAATCTAGATGGACCACTCATGATGTCCTAAAAATATTAGCTCGCCCGTTACAAGGATTGTTGAGATATTCAACGAAAATTCGAAAAAACCTAAAGGAAATGACAAAATTTCAAAAAATCTCAAATTTCCGCTCATGTCGGCTTCCGATTTTTCTCAAATTTTGCATTGACACTCTAAATAGACCACTTGACACTCTACAAAGAGTCGCTCACAATGTTACCTCCCCTTTCCAGGCCTAGCCGAGATATTCAAATGATGTTTTTGCCAAAAAGTGCGGAAAATAAGTGGTTCGCTTTTTTAAACCTTTCAATCAAATTTTTTTGTCCTTCATTTACTCGAGTTTTAGAGGCCTTACCATGCCATAATAGTGCATAATAAAGAAGATTTTCCCTTGTTTTACCAACTTTTTCAACCCAAAGTTCAAGCCTTGCCTTGTGCTGCGGATGACCAATTGAATTGGTCGAAAATCCTCGACATGTCCCGTTAGTGTGCGACAAAATCCTCGACGAGTGCATTTGAGGAGCGACCATACCTTTGCACACATTTTTACACCAACTCGTGGATATCTTACAGTACTATTTAGGCGCTTACAATAGCTTTTAGCAAGATTGAAACCAAACTTGCTCAGGTGTTTAGTCAACAACAGCTTGTGAATTTACAGCAGTATTGGGGAAAAATAGAAACACCCGGATGTGTACGGACTAACTAAAGATGTAGCCAGCGGGCCGGTGGTTTTATACCGACCCACAACCCGGTTCTCGGAAGCTGTTTACAGTTGACACCTGATGGTGGGCTCGGCCCGCTTTCTCCCGATTTGACACGACCCGGGAACGCCCCCAAACCATCGAACAGAAATCCTCTTTACTCTAGGCTCTACAACGTAGTCTCCATAACACACAATCCGGAGTACGGTACGGGGAGAATAGGTCAAAATAATCCGCAAATCCGACTTATGCCACTATTTACGGACGTTCTTACATTTTCGATTAAAACGAATAGCGGAATTAAGGCAGCGAGTGGGAAGATTGCCACCTGAGGGGATTAGAAGCGAAGGGAAGCGGATTGAGCCGAGTAGTGGTTATACTTTTAGATATTGACCTGGTTCTACGTCAGAGGACATTAGGTGCCTAGGATAATATAAAAAATGATAAAAATGGGGGTAAATATTGTAAAGATCAGCTTTTGCGTGACGAACACTCTAAATAACAAACTATTTTTATCATTTTTATTTTTTTATTCCAATTTTTTTTTGTCAAAAAGCCTTGTCTTTTTGCACAAAAGTGATTTTGCGCAACAAACAACATCTCAAACTTTTTGACCCGTACTCTAACTTACCACGAGCGCCAAACTTTTCGCCAATAATAACCACAGAAGACCTGCTATATTTATCGTCTGCCAGGCCGCAAAATTTGTGTGTTTTTCTCACAATTAATTGAATAACGGCGCACGTAAGGTAAGAAAAACAAGTACTTCTGGGATTGTTTTTGCATTTTAAGTGCACATGGAAGCCGGCCAATTCGAAGATCTAAGATTTGATGCAAAAAATGGGATGATTTGGGAATTGACATTTCGTCCTCTTGATATTGGATTTTTGCTGGGGGTTAGTTTAGGTGTGAGAAGTGTTACGAAGCGTAAAATAGTGGTGGATCAAGACTGCAGAGACGGTAGAGATAACTTCTGAAGTAAAATCTGTCATTATGACATTTTTTTAAGACTTTTTTGATGGAAGTTCGAAAATCAACCGACATTTTTTTAATTCATTGAAGATACCCCAGACAGCCCAGCAGGACAAACAAACCAACATATTATGCCCGCAGCAATTCCAAAATTAACCAACAACCCAAATGAAGTCGAAAATCTCAGGTAGAACGAAGTTAGCCGGCCTGGGAACCTAATTACCCATGACTCTTGACACCCCATTCCACCTGCATTCTTTTGAATATCGAATTTGACATTATCGGGGAGTCCCCACCACAACGCCGTCCCAATCCAATTTTAGCGGCGAACCGGTGCACCGTCCAGGTGCATGGCTTTATAGACCTTTTCGAAAGACACGAACAAATTGGGAAATGCTACTGGAATGTATTAATATGGCGAGGAGGCGAAGAGGTGGGAATTGGAAGGGAAATGGTGTAAAGTGTGATTACAGATGGTTGACAAAGAAATAAAAGGATTGGGACTAAAGGTAAAGAGAATAGAAATGAAATGTTGTAGATATGTAAAGGCTGAAAGAAGTAAAGAAAAATTATAAAATTAAGATTTTTTGAGGGATCTAAACTCTGATAGCCGTTGAATTTTGGGCTCTTACTCTGTCAAGGTATAAAAAAATATAGAAAAGAGGTTTCAGACAAGGTCTGAAAATTTTAGCTAAAAGATTTCGGACCCTATACTTGCCCAATGGCAAAAAATGTCATCAAAAAAATCCAGCGAACATTCTTTAACATTTCCCTCCGTTCAAGTACGAACATGACCTCTTTAGCCGGAATTTTCGAACACTTGGCCCATGAAACTCGACACTCCTTGAATAGTTATTAATCGACTCAAGAAGCCAACCCCCTTGGATCGTACATGCATAATCCTGTCACAGATTTTCATGCATAATTTTGGCAAGAAATTTATATCCAATGAAAAAAATGTAAACGACAGAGTTTATGATGTGACAAGCAAATATTACAGGACCCGATTAAAGTACGGTTATTTCCGTGCGAGTGAGAATCCATTAAAAAGCGGGCCGATGAAATCATGAATACTCTGCGAAATGTTTTGGGGGTGTTTTTGGGCCGCAACACTTGAGGCTATGAGGTTTTTTGAGAGGGTTAGTTTTGGATGAGATGGTCTAAAAAGATCAAAAATGTGGGATAGATTGAAGCCGAGGCTTTTTTTGAGGACTTGAGAAAATTTTTTTTTTGTAAAATATGGTAAGGGGGGACCAAGGGAGTTTTTTTAAACAAAATTGTCGAATTTGAATGAAATTTTGCGACAAACTTGGATTATTATTTTTTAAGGCATGTGAGGTAATTTTTCTATCAGCCTGTCTGGAAAATAATGACAACAGTGTCGCTGCGCCAATCGCGTCGCTTGAGTGAAACGCAAATTTTATTTTGCCGCGACGCAATTCATTTTCTCGGCAGCGATTTTCAATGCGACAGAGTGCTCATTATTTTCCCGACAGACTATATAATCACGAAAACATCAGCCATTTTGGTCTCTATGATACTTTTTTGGTGCCAAACTTAAGCTGGACCACAATCTTTTGACCTTTTTTGTCGACTAAGACGTCGCTTCACCAACCTACCCCAGCAAAGGCAACCGGCATCTGAATTCTTCGTCCATCTTTTAGTCTCGAAAATAAAAAGAAATCCGCTCAGAATCCGCAGCCCAACATTGTCCACATGTCGAAAATTTAGAACACAAATTTCGGTCAACTTCCTACGCAGCGGAAACGAAAGAAAAACCGAAAGCAGGAGGAAAGAATCAGACCCGAATCTGCCGGCCCCAGAAAGGTTTCGCATTTCGACGATAAAACTTTTTTAAATGCGCTGCCGACTTGAAAGCCCCGCCGGCAATTTGGGGGAAAGGAGAAGGCGAATTTCGAGATGCCTGAGGGCTCCTCAATTTTTTTAGAAGGCCGAGCAAATTTTCTGAGGCCTTCTGAACCCCTTGTCGGTAGCCGGGGTTTTTCGCGAAAGTTCGCTGGCAAAGATTTTTCGGTGCAACCTTCGAGGGCCCGAGAGTTTTGGACACGGATTTTTTTTTGGGCCACGGACACGATTTATTGGCCGACCAATTAGGTTTTACGATTTTTTTTGGGTTTCTTTTATTTTGCTCCAAGGTTTGAAGGGGAAGATGTTGAAATTTTTGATCTCAAAATTTTTGATTCAACAAGGCGTAGGGCAGGTGGATACCCAAAAAAAGGTTGTAGAAAGCGTACTTTGCCAGTGCAAGGCCTGGCAAAGCCTTTGGATGGTCGGCGGACGCTCGGCGAAGGCTCGGCGGAGACTTGTCGAAGACTTACGATATGTCCATTTTTTATAATTTTAGCTATTACTAACGTTAGTTTTCTTTACCCTGAGTTATTGTACAAAATTTGCGGCAAAAAACGCAGATCCGAGCCGTCGCTGGGCCCCAAAGTCGCAGCGGCTAGATGAAAAAAGATCTCCGCGGATAAAAAAGTTTGCTCGGAAAAAATTGATTTTTTGGACATTTCTTATTTTTTTGTATTATTTTTGGCTTTAAAAAAATGTAGAAGCATTTTTAGCGTTCGTATTTTACAATAAAAGATTACTTTTTGCTAGAAAAATTACTGTGGTTTTGCGTTTTTTTTAATTCCTAAGAAAAATAATAACAAAAATAAATTTTCTTTTTGATATAATACAACAGAAAAATCGCCGTATTTTACCCCCTAAAAACGATTTTCACACACCTCGCCACCTGCAGCAGATCCTTGAGGTTGAAGTTGACCTGGAACACCGGCCTCTTCCGCACCATGGGCGTCAGCGAGAGGTGTCGTTGGGCGGTGGAAGCGAACGAAAAGCGGGCGTCTCGGCCGCTGTACGCAACCGTGTCATATGGCCCGTTCATGGCGGCTTTACATTACCCTGGAGTGCAGAATTTTGGCGTAACATTTTCGGCGAAAGCGACACGCAATATTCCGGGATTTAATTGAATTACAATTTGGGAGAATCGAAATTGTAATTGTTTACGGGAACTGAAGGCGAAAAACGGGAGGAATACGGAAATGGAAAGGATTGAAAAGTATTTGAGGATTGTAGACATGCAAAAGGTAGGAATGTAGAGTCTGGAAAGAAGAGAAAATGAACAAAAAATCCCAATTTTCGGGCGATATACGGAGTAATCGAGATTTTTTAATTAAAAATTGGAAAAAAGTAAAAAAATTTTTTTTTGCGAATTTTGCCATAAAAAAGTTTATGCGTATTTCTACCATAATACAGTGTGCTCTTTCCACAAAAAATCAAAAATTTCCCCGCGAAACTGGCAAAAATACGGCCAAAACTTTTTTCTTTTTGACCGCTCTCCGCATTTAGTGTGCTCTCTCGGCCGCAAAGATCGTTCAATATCTCGGATACCCCAGTAAACCGCGAGCCAAAACTTTGAAGAATTGATGTGTGGCCTATGCATGATGTGTGAGCAAAATTTTAAGAAAATCTAAGCCTTGAGGGTACCGGGCGTCTTTTTTGAAAAGTTTGATAAAAGGGGGGATCAAGGGGATATTTTTTGAAATTTTTTTGGGCACCTTGGCTTTTAACCTCAGAAAAATTTAAATTGCAACTTTCTAAGGCATTTACGAGAGTTTTAGCTCGCGCTTTGCAGAAATCTCGGTGGTTTTTTGACCGAAAAGACCCGAAAACAGAGAATTTCTTGAGCCCAGTTCGATTAGAATCATTTTTTTGAACTTTCTTTAGAAAAATTGGCTCACAAAGTACGTAAAAATCCCCTCGCCCTCATCTCTAGTCTGCCTTAAATTGTCAAAGGCCAAAATGAAAAAAAAGCAAGTCAACAAAAATTCGGGATTCAATTTTGGCCTAATGAAGAAGAGAAGGGCCTAAATTCCCTTGCAACATCCTCCTTAGCCTCCAAAACAGAATTGCAAATAAATAAACGGCAACCCGGAGATCTTATTTTCCAGATTTTACTCCTCTTTAATTCCCTTCCTACTTCGATTTCAGACGGCAACATCTGAAATTCCGATAAGCTCTTGAGGAAGAAAAACATCCCGGTTCTCAAGCCTCAATTACTGCGTGGGGACGTGTTAGTGAATTAGCAAGAAAAGTAATTGTCAATTTTTGGTCTGGTTTGCAAAAAACGAACACAAAAATTTTTGGAGGTAAGGGGGGACCAAGGGAGAATTTTTGGAAATTTAAAAAAAAAAGTACCTCAGATTTTAGTGAAACTTAATGCAAATTTAAAATAAATGTTTACAAGACAGGTGTGAGATGTTTAGTTCGCGCTTTGCAGAAATTACGGAGATTTTTACACCAAAAGATCAAAAAATTGACAATTTTGGGGGGTAAGGGGGACCAAGGGAGGAATTTTGGAAATTTTTTTAAAAAAGGTACCTCAGATTTTCGTGAAACTTAATACAAATTTAAAATGGGCATCTACGACACACATGTGAGGTTTTTAACTCGCGCTTTGCAGAAATCGCCGAGATTTTTACATCAAAAGATCAAAAAATTGATAATTATGAGAGGTAAGGGGGGACCAAGGCAAAAATTTTGAAATTTTTTTTATGAAGGCTCTCGGATTTTCATCTTACTTGGAAAAAAATCTAGAACAAATTTATTAACGCATAAACAATGCTTTTCAGTTCGCGCTTTGCAGAAACCACCGAGATTTAAACCTCAAAATTAAAAAAATTCAAAAAATTTCTCGTGATTTTTGCTCTCAAGACAAAAAGCATGATTAAAACCGTGCTCGAGAGGAGAAAAACAACTCATCGCCTCTGGGTATTTTTCATATTTCCCATAATAATCGGAAATGAGCTTGTCGCGAGACGTTACTTTGAATGCCCACCTTAATGGCTTATGGGAAACGAAGGTTGTGTAAAATTTGATTGCGCAAAGGTGCACTATTGCCATTGGTCTGATAAGCAAGGACAAAATTAGAGCGGATTTCATGCAGACTTCCTTGTTTTGCGGGGAAATTAAGACGATACCAACGTAGGAGAGGATTGGAAGACAAAGAAGAGGTAGCTGTAAAAGCTGTAGAGATTCTTTTAATGGTCAGGGGGGACCAAGGCAATTTTTGGAAAAATTTACTGTGGCTGATTTTGATAAGACTTGAGAAAAATAAAAATTGCCATCTTCTCATACATACTTGAGATTGTTAGCTCAAATTTTAAAAAGGCTACCGAGATTTTTAGATCGAAAAATCATCAAAAACAGATGTTCTTCCCTATGCCTGCAGAAAACGTTAAATATCTTGACTACTCATGCAAACCAGAGGCTGAAATTTTTGAGTACTGATTGTTAGTCCCTCTAAATTATCTATTCCAAATCTCAAAGCAATCCGATTTTCAAGACCTGCAAAAATCGCTTTCCAAAAAATGGACTTTTTTTCTTTTTTTCTCCAAAATTTTTACTTTTTCTCCAAAAAAATCGACAAAAACAGGGATGAAAGTAGATGAGAAAGTTAACGTATACCAAAACAGCTATCAATACAATATTTTTTGCTTCCAAAACCGACCGTATTTCCGGAAAACATATGAAAAACAAGTCTAAATACCTTCTAAACCCTCCCCCTTCTCCCTATCCTCTAATCTCCCGCAAATTTATCATTATTCTTCAAATATCCCTTAGTATTTTCGCGGATATGAACAAACACCTTGTCAGGAAGTGACAAATAAAACGTTTGAGTCATCCGAAAACACCGTAAAGACATCGCTTCTACTCTCTGGTCGCCTACAAATGTATTCGACACGTCAAGCCATGTCATTATATAACATTGGAGGGGAATAAAGAGATTTGCGGCCATTTACATGGTAATTGATTGTTTACAGTTTTCTCTGCGAAAATCGGAGGAGAAGGAATGTGACGAAAAGTGAGAAAGTTAATTGAATTTTTGACGATAACAACTAATTTTAGATTGGAATGGAACTTTCAGATTTTTTTGAAGTTTTGCAAATAAGTTTTGCATAGGTCGCGTATGAATTCCTGAAAATTTTAGCCTGCGTTTTGCAAGGGTAGCTAAGATATTCAACGTTCTCCGTCGACGAGAGAGAACGCCAAATTCGGAGAGCAGTCAGAGAAAAAAAACGCTTTTTGCCATATCTCCACAAACTTTGCGTGATGACAATTTATTTCTTGCAGAAAAGTTGCCTTCTCCGATAAAAACAAGGTGTTAATTACTGATGGATATCTTCGCAAAAAAAAGTAAAATTTTCGTCAACTTTTGGGTTCAAAATCTCAGTTGTTCTTGCAGTGCGCGAGCCAGCATAAGTCTTAGAAAGTCTTGAATAAATCTTAGAAAAAATCAACCTAAATTTGACCCAAACTTCACTGAAATAGGGTGGCGCTTTGAGCGTGTTCTCTGAAGAAAAATTCATGGGAAACCAAAGTTCTTGGAAGATTTTTCCACGATAAATAGAAGGATTTGGTTATATCATACATATTTATGTGTAATTTATAAAGGATTAATGAATAAAATATAACAAATCTATTTATGGAAGGTAAAAAAGTGGCAAATTTTCGTCAACTTTCGACCTAAAAATCTCTGTCGTTTCTGCTAAGCACAAGCTGCGATTTTCACCTACAAGTCGAAGAAAAAAACTAGTCAAAATATGGGCCATGTCTCATAAGAGTCTGAGCGTTTTACTTGGGGTATTTTCTCTGATACAATATGATGAAAAGGTATACTACTGAAAGCAGAATACTTTTTTCTTACCCCCTTTTTCCAGTTTATAAAGTCGGAAGAACCCGAAAAGTACCATAATTTACCCATCACCTTCCAGCACCCCGCCTAAAGTTTCAATGCATTTTCTAACCTCCCCCTACTTATGCATACCAAATCCACATCAAGGTTAACAGCTGGCTTCCAGCTTATAAACACATGAATATTGGAGTGCCATAGACAGTTCAAACTCATTGGGAATTCCATCAAAAACATGGGGTAAATTGCGGTGATCAAAGAGTAGATTGGGAGGTGGAGAAGAGAGAAGATGGATAGCTATTTTTTATCGTAACTTTCAAAGGGCTAAATTTGGAAGACAGAGAAATTGCCGGAGGGATACAAGTCGGATTTTGATAAAGCTTGGCGCACTACGCTTCGTCAAAAATGAGACTTTTGTCGCAGGGTTCCCGCACCGTGCAGTTGACCTTTTGCAACGTGCGATCAAAAAATCGCCGCGACGCAAGGCTTTTGAAGCTTGTCGCTGCAAACTGCACGAACGCGACAGACATTGCACTGTGCAAAAAGCGGCAAAATGCACTGTGCGCCGCGAATTCTTCGAGCGCGACAGAATGCACAGTGCAAAAAGCGGAAAAATGCACTGTGCGCCGCAAAAAATTTTTTGCCTCTTTTTGCACGGTGCGCGAGCCTTTTGAACTTTTCTGCACTGTGCAATTGCCTGTCGCGCTCGTAAAAATTCGCGACAACGCAGAATTGAAAAAAACTTGCGTCGCGGCGATATCTCGGTCGCACGGTGCAAGATGTCAACCGCACAGTGCAAAATAAGGGTTTTTGCTTGCACGGTGCGGCCCCTCAGAAACTCGGAGTCAAGTTTTTTGCAGGCTTGAATTTCCCTTGCGAGATGGATCTTAGCCCGACATATGTAAACAATGAATCCGTCGGCAATTAAGACCGGTTCAACGCCCACAAAATCCTACAAAAATTGAAGGAAATGTGATAGCACTGCCTCTTTTCTACATACATAATATTCGAGAGGAAAGGGTCATTACAACGGCGAAAATAAAAGCTTTGTAAAAGGGAAAGGAGAGTTTTAATTTTTGAGCCTTTTGTCTGTTGAATTGCCATGCTTAGAATGGGAATAAAGTCACTTCCCAGATTCGCCAAACATGCTTATAAAAGGCTTATGAAAGGCTACAATTTGAGGCCTCCTTCAACAAGCGTCACGTCACTGGCTGCTACATAATTGCAAAGGCTTTAAAGTCACGTAAAAAAAGAGCTTTTTAACCTTCGGGCTAGCTAAAAATTAGCCTCAAAAATCAAAAAAAAAAAATAATTTTTTTCGAGAACTCAAAAACCCCTCGACAGAAAAGCCATTTTAACGAAAATAAAATCGCCAAGAACACAAGTTTTTTTAGTGTTTTCGGGTTTTTTTGTCTTCATCCTAACACTTGACGGCCTTCCTCTAAAAGGGCAGGATTCATTTTATTAGACCGGACAGCTGAAAGCTAAGAGAGCCAGAAATTGGAGGCCGAACACGCAAATCCCAGGGGCAGACCACACGTAAGATGAGTGTTACTTCATTGAGGGTATAATATGATTTTGAAATTGAGCCGTTTAGTAATATTTCAAAGTCGAAAAAAAATTTTTGGATTTTTTGGAAAAAATGAATGGTAAGGGGGGACCAAGGCAAAAATAAATTTAAAAAATAGTGATGGTTCCCTGAGATTTTTACAAAACTTTTTTTGAATTTAGAGTCAGCCACAAGAAAAAAGTTGAAAAATTGAAATTCCAAACTGTGGTGACGATTGGCAGAACGTATTTTACCTTATATTCTAACCCCTAATCCCTCAGTTTGCTTAGCCGGAGATCTCGAAAATCCGCTTTACTTCCCTCTTCGGAGAGAAAAATCCCGTATAATCAAATCAAAGCAAGAAAACGGAGAAAAATATTGACAATCAAACAAAAGCTATATATTGCCCGCACCACCGTTGAATGTACTCAAAAACTAAGGACGACTGGGTAATAACCGAAAATGAACACTAGTACCTAAAGACAAGCACTTGTAATTACTCTAATCCAAAGGATTAGTCACCAAAAAACGGGAGAAAGATGTGCCACAACGGAAATGAAGGGAAATTGAGTTTGAGATGAGCTAAAGCCCGAATTCCACGGAAAGATGACCTGGAATGACTTCAGAAGCTCGGAAAGTTCCGAGGAACTATTGGAAATGACGAGGAAAAGACGTATGGATAAATGAGGGAAACGTTTGAACCGGAAGTGGGTGTTATTACAATTTAAATCGAAATTTGGTTTTCGAAAACTTCAAACTGTATAGTGACCAGTTTCATTAAAAAATTTACAAAAAAAATCTGTAGTATTTTTAAAAAAATTTCGAAAAATTGCAAAAATTTGATTACATTTTGTTTTCCCAAGAGCATTACAATAACGAAAAACTACAAAATCCATCAAAAATAAGTCAAAATATAGTCAACAGCACCATTATTTTTTTTGCAAAATGACAAAAAAAGTCATCATTTCGATTGAGTACTTTTTTCCGACATGATAAAATTCAAAAGCATTGGCCAATTTATGCCCTCCCTATTGTCCCTAATCCCCAATTACGTGTGCCTCCCACCCTCCAGACATGTTTCATTAGAACGCTTTCCTGGCCAGATGTTAAGCCCACAAAGCCATCCCTTCAAAATCACCTGGCTTCGGCGAAAATTGAAAAATTTCACAAATTTTTTGAATTTCCCGGAAAATAATGGAATTTGAATAATTTGATTACATAAGAGATAAAGAGTAATCGTCACTTGAGAAATTCGACGTTTTCATTAAAGTTTTATGATATCTCGGTATGATAAATAAATCATTGCGGGTAATTGATGAGAATTTGATTTGTTTTGCAGAGGAAAAACAAGGGTCTACACTGAATGCGGGTTCGTCATGGAATTTTAAATTTTTAGAGGAATTTCTGGGTTGATAATGACAAACTTAAAAAAAATTATTTTGTGATTTTCAGTCAAAAGTTTCTGAGTAAAAAAACGATATATTTAGATCCCATGCTCCTTCTAGTCTCTAAAAACCCCCGCACTTTTTATCCAACCCCCAGATACGACTCAAAAACGAGTCAACTCTCAAACTCGACCCTAAATTCTATTTGGCTCATTTCAAGCCAAAAAAAAACTTTTTTCGAGCAAATTAAATCTCAAGAGATAAAACCGAAACCACCAAAGGGTTCTAAATATCCTAAATATCCCCTTTAACTCAAATTATCTTCCAGCCAGACAAAGATTACTTTCAAAAAACAAAAAGTAAGCAAACTCGAAATCCTAAAAAAACAAAAAATCCCTAAACTAAAAATAATTCGCACCTGCTTCGGAAAGTTAGCCTCTAATTTTTGCGAAAATAAATTTCCTTTCTTGGCTGTACTTTTTTCATAAATAAGATTAACAAGTCGCTTCATGAATACTTGAATTGGGCGCATCAAAGAACATTAGAAGGAAAAAAAAGTTGTTCTTCACAAAGAAAATTAAAAAATTGCAAATTTTTTTGATGTGGTAGTGTCAAGAGACATGTATTTCATCTTCTTTGTCGTTTCTGATTACTTTGAAATGAGTTTCAGGCTAAATGGCGGATTTTTTAGATTGGCGAACTGCGCCCTAGGTTTGACGTAAAATTAGGTTCAAACAGGTGCAAGATGATCAAATTATAAATGCTAGACATAAAAACATACTTAAAAATTTTAATTTGACCTTTGAGATATAATTCCTGTTTATTTTTGAGTTGGTAGTCTGCGCCCAGGTGTTAGCGGAAAATCATGGATTTCAATCAATTTTTGGGCAAAATGACATTTTAACACTTAAAACTTGTGCAACTGGTCCCAAAGACATTTTTTTGTGCGTTAATCCTTCTTTTTTACACACCTTTTGTTTGGCAGCTTGCGCCCTACCTTTGACGGTAAACCGCAAAATAAAAAAATTCCTACGTCATCAATGGTCGTTTGCACTACAAAACTCAAATTTTGCAAGCACGGAAGTAACTTGCCCTTTAAACTTTTTACTTTTACAATTACTTTTTACATCTTTCAATAACTTTACACTGTACATTTTTACTGCTACTAAAGAAAGATTTCGGGAAAAAAAATTTGCAAACCCACCTTGTGATGGTGATACCGTAGCCACTCTGTCTCCGACGGATGCTCTTTGTCTGCGCGGCGGACCTCTTGTGCGGGTTTCCGTCCGCATCGCTCACATCGAAGCGCACATCGCCATTGGACTTTTCCTCTGCAAAAAGGCGGATATTAGCGTCGTTAAAAAAATTTTTTTGCTATTTTTTCCCATTTTCCAGAAATTCAGACATGACAAGTCTGTTCTTTGAATTTTTTCTATTTACCCTCAGGGCATTTTGCGAATTTGGCCAATTTGCGTGTCCAATAAATCTCCGGAAAAGAATCAAATAAAAAATTGGTCGAGTTTAGGACTTCCGATTTTTTTTTCGACTATTTTTGCATCATGAGTTTGCTGGCGTAAGAACCGGACGGGCCAAAAACTCTTGACCTGTTTTTGCACCGTGCGGGCGCATGAATTCGGTGTTGCGACAAGGTGTCGCGCGATAAAGATTTGGCGGGGTGCGAAAGAAGAGCGCACTGTGCGTTGTTTACCTTTTTCAAAACAATCTTTTTGCAGTGTGCGGAGTCGCAGTGCACCGTGAATTTTGCTTGTCGCGGCGCGACAAGTTGTTTGCACGACGGCGCACTGTGCAGACATGTCAAAAATGTTTGCACAGTGCGCCATCGCCCGAAAAACTTGTCGCAATGTGTGCAATACACGGTGCACGCCGACCATGCACAGTGCAAAATGAATGCTTTTGGAAAACGCGATCAAAGCTTATGTCGAAACTGCACAGTGCGTTTTTCATTCGCACCGTGCAGATGGTTTGTCGCGTTAAGCCACTTCGCAACGCCCACCGCACTGTGCGAAAACATGTCAAGAATTTTTTACCCTCCAGAACAAAAAATCCAGGCCACAGTGGTCGAAAGAAAAATATTTTTTTTGGTTATCAGGCTAAAATTAACGGGATTCTCGAGAAACTGCCAAATTAACCGTGTTAAGAGCCAAAAAAAAAAACGGCTATTCAACAGCTTGTTTACTCAGCAATTTCTGAAGATTCTTAAAAGATAAAAAAAAACCGTTAAATTTTTGCATGAATCGAACTATATCTGCGTATTACAGTTTTATGAGTCTGTTGGGGTCGCCGCTCAAACAAGTCCTACTAATTGCCCAAAAAGTCCCACTTATTGTTGGGCCGTAAATTACCTCCCTATTGACCCGTTAGCGCATGCAAAACAACTCCGTTCTCAGCGCCGGAAGCAGGTCGCATTAGAGAGTTACCAATATTACAAGTTATAAGCTCCCTCCGGGGATTAGAGAAGGCTAAATTAATCGCAGAACAAAGGCCAACGGCCAGGGGGTCAAGGAAAAAAATAAAGAATCAAAAACTTGGAATGATGTTGTTGGCAGGCCGGAGTGGCGTGGTTATCCGAAATTTAGGACTATGAATATAGCATCATAGAAAATTATCAGCCCGCCGGGAAAATAATGTGGTCATTGTCGCATCGAAAATAAACTTGTGTCGCGACAAAATTGAATTTTTTTCACTGCTACAATGTGAGTGAGGCAGCGACATTGTGCTCATTATTTTCCCGACAGACTGATATCAGTTTGTCGGGAAAATAATGTGGATTTTTTGCGCCTTTAAATCGCCCATCATCGTTTTGCAACGGTTTGCCGCAGATGGGGATTTGATGCGCTATTGCGGCCAGGCGAACCTTTGCTGCAACAAATCCGCATTATTTTCCAAACAGTCTGAGAAAAAGACAGAATATTCCCTAAAAATTGGACAGTGCAAAGAGCCCTCTTAACCTTTTATCGCGTCGAAACTCTCCAGCATTGCCAATCGCTTCCGAATCATGGACGAAGTGCGCGTCATCTCCGCCTTCGGTATGTCCGTGTACAGTTCGAAGCTGCGCCAATAGGAGCCGATTTTGTGCCGGAACCGGCTCTGCCCCAACTGTTGCGCGGACATGCTGAAACGCCTCTGGGGCTCCGAATGCAGTGGGCATGGTGGCGGCGTGGTGGCCGGATGCACTGAGCGCGCCCCGCCCGCCAACGCACTCATCGCGGACGGAGCACGCGACGGGTACATGGTGGGGTCGACCAGATGCGGCTTAGCCGGATTGGGCGTCGTGAGCGTGGAGTAGGATGAGTAGGCGGTCATCGCATTACATGTGCATTGGTTTAATGCGTTGAAGCTGGGACTGGCCGACGAAAGACCGGGAAATCCGAGGACCTGGGTTGAGGTGTTGCTGTAGCCTTGAGCGATCACCGGGAAGTTGGACGGACCGCTCGGTATGGAGCAATTCGGTGCAATCGAGCCACTAAAGCTCGTGGAAATAGTCGACAGTGGCAGGCCACCCGTAGGTAGTGTTGTTTTGCGTTGAAACACTGGAGGATTGAACGCCGCCACGGTGGTAGAGTTATTGGCAATCGCGCTCGTATGACCAGCGGAGCGCGCGTCCTGGGTTTGGCCCGCCTCTGCGGGCAGCGAGCCCAGCGTCATGCCTGTCGCCGCCGTGTTCGTGCTCACGCAATTGGCCACCGACCCGTTGGGCAGGGCGCGCACCGTGCACGTGCCCGACTTGTCCCACACGACCCGGACCGCCCCGCCCGCCGCCGCCGCCGACGCCGCACTGGACTGGGTCCGCCCGCGCTGAAGCGTCAGCGTCGGAATGGGCGGGGTGGCGGGTCGGTCGGGTTTCCCGTAGCTGAACGTGCTCTGTCGCCGGCGCCGCCGATACAACGGCGAGTTGGGGGTTTGCAGGACGGTGGGGACTAAGGTCATCGTGCCGCCCGAGACGACTTGGGCCCTCCCGCTGCGCCAGGTGTTCTAATTTCGGAATTTTCAATGACTTGCGGAAGTGTCGTTGTGTTTGCGGGATGTGAATGGCATAAAGTAGATGTTTTTTTGTTGTGACTATGTAGGTGCTCTGGCCAAAAATGCCCAATTTTCGGCTTCAAATTACTTCTAACCACTTGCGTTGCCGTCTCAGGTCATCCCCGTTCACTATAAACAATCGAGACCAATTAATTTCGCACGAAAATTACAACAATCGCGTGCAAACTTCGTATGTGGGCAGACGGCGGCTCAAAGTATAAGTGTCAAACGTAATATCGACAAAAATACAGAGTTCTGAAATTTGTCAAAAACATGAAAATATTAGGGATTCAGGATTTGGAGAAGGGCCGAATTCACGGATCCTGCGAATGCGATGGTTCGCCGAGACGGATGTATGCGGAAAGGCCCATGAATTTTTCATCCCGACGGAAATTTTTGATTACACACCTACAATTATGCATAATGCACTCTTACGGCAATAACTGCCCGGAAACAGTGATTGCCGTGGGAAGAGGAGGGTGTTCGATGGGTGGAGAAATAAGTGTTGTTATGCAGGAAGCGATGGAGCTGAGGTGTTTCGGAAGGTGAAAAAATGTATTTTGTGACTGCACTTCAAAACATAAGGTCCAAGACGAGATTTTTCCGAGATTTGGGCATTCTTTTTTTCCGGCGATGACTGAGAAATGCGGCCTAAAAGGCAGATAAAACGCCGGCCTCGTGGGTATAAAGTTCCTTCGGGTTCGATGTTTGTTTTGGCGCGAAACAATGGCGCCAAATGAAACAAAATCTTATTTTTAGAGGATTTAAGAAGTTTTGCGGCCTGAAATGACGATTTCACTAGAAAAAGTTAGTACTAAGCGGGCCGAAAAAGTCTTGACATGTTGGCGCTACGACTTTTCGGGTCAATGACAGCTCGGGTCAACGATACTACTGGATCGCGTCGGCTCGTCGTTGTATGCATGGGGAGGCTAGGAGAAGGCTTAATTAATAGAAATAATAAGATTGCTCGGGTCTTTGTCACCTATTTTGAGGCATTTTATGTGTACCCACATCAATAATATCTAGATAAAAGTTACGGATCTTCATTTTTTATGCCGCAAATTTTGGTATTGTACATGGTACAGTAACCTAGGGCAAAGGAAAATAACGTTAGAAATAGCTCAAATTTGAAGAGGTGGACAGATTGCCAGTCCTCGCCAGCGTCCGCGGAGCCTTTGCCGAACGCCCGCCGACCGTTCAACGGCCTTGCCAGGCTCGTAGGGACTTCCTTAGCCCTTTTCTGGGTATCCATCTGCCCTGCGCTCCGTATCGATCGATTTTTTGTTGACCCGAAAAGTCGAGACGCGGCAAACAAATCTTGTCTGAAAACCGCAGAATAATTTTGTAAAATTTTTATCATTATCAACCTAGAAATTCTTCCAAAAATTCAAAATTCCATGACGAGCCCACCTTCAATGACTTTTGTTTGGGTTCTCTAGTTTTGTACCAGTCGAATTTTGAATTTTTTTTTGCGCAAAACCTCATAGCAATGCCTATTGCATGCGGCTTCACAGTGTGAAAACATGTCAAGACTTTTGGCCCACCTATTACAACAAAATTGACAACAGTGAGGCCACAGCCGCCGCAACAGCATTCAACCGGTCGCTGCGTCCCGACACGAAACCCGAACGGACACCGCAATCAGCCGAGACATGGATTTGGAAGGGAAGGAGAATAGTTTTGGAAGTTGCAGCCTGAGCGAGCGGTTGGCCGTCCGCGCGTGCGGACGATTGGAATCTAAGGGTTGGTCTGCTTGTGTATTGTGTTTGGAGGAATAAAGAGGTCACTGGTATTTGTTGGAGTATTGGCAGAGCTTGTCGAGGATAGCGTGTTAGGAGACCCGGTGTCTGATCGTGTAGACGAGGAACCGAAGGGTCTCATTCAACTGGCCCAGGAATTCCTTTTCTACAGCCATAAGAAGTCGCTTAGACTACAGCGTCCAAAAATAAACAAAATAGACCGACACTAGACGAATTCGAAACCACGATTCACACCCTTCGTCCGCATTCTGACTTCCTTTTGTTACACAACCACCTCAACGTTCTTTTATCCGCCGCCCATCCCCTCACCTCCAACGTGTTCCGCGCGCGCATACAAAAAGTCCAAAGAATTCGGTGTTTCACGGATATTTGATTACCGATTCAATGAAATTCCAGCGCAGACTAAATGCGGAATCGCTAAATGCCCGCTGAATTTCGAACACTTCTCTTTTTGCGAGGAAAATGAAATAAACGGGAGAAGGAAGTGTCGGAATTGCGACATTCAGATTTTCGTTAGATTTTGAGCCCGAAATTTTTTTTTGAATAGACGGGATATTCGATAAATTTTTCAATTTTGAGAAAGCTAGTTTTTTTGAAACATGGTGCTCTCCGTCAGAATTGTGACATTCTACAAGGAACTAGTAAGAACTTACAGGGGAAGTACCCCAAGTGCGACGCTCAGATTTTGATAAAACTTGGCACAAATTTAGAACAATTTTTTCTAAGATATGTGCGAGAATCCTAGCTCGCGCTTTGCAGAAACAACCGAGATTTTTAGATCAAAAGTCGGCGAAAATTTAGGACTTTTTGCCGAATTTCGGCACGAAAAGTTTCATGCCTATTTCTACCGTAAAAGGTAATATATCCATAAAAAGTAAATTTTTTCCGCACGAAACTAGCAAAGTTATGGCCAAAAAGCGCTTTTCTCTCCGACCGCTCTCCACGTTTAGCGTCCTCTCTCGGCGGCATAAACCGTTCGATATCTCGGCGGCGCCCGCAAAACGCGAGCTAAAACTTTCAGGAATTGATATTTAGTCCATACCCGACGTGTGTGCAAAATTCAAAGAAAATCTGAGCGTCGCACTTGGAGTACTTCCCCTGTTAGTATATAGCTACTAGTCTATTTAGAAAAGAAATAGCTTCAACTACGCTGGCGTGTACTGGCCCTTAAAAATCCGAGAGCTGCAATTCAAGCACCTTCCCTTGAAATCAATAACTAAATCTTTTAAAAAAATTCCCTTTGCGACGCCTAAATTGTCAACTAAACAAAGTTTGATCTGTTTGATATATAGTAGCTTGAGCGTTCCCTGCAACATTTTACACTAAAAAAACGTAAAAATTTGGACTTCCCAAATTACACCCGTTGATATTTTGCAAATCAACAGTCTGCTCACGCGATTTCCCCCAAAAAATGGCAACAACTTTAAGGTCGAAGAGTGGTAATGTTACCAAACAGTAGTAACATTAAGTGTGAGTACCAAGTAGTAAAATTACAATGTGTTTATATGGTGTTTTAGTGGATACGTGTTATTTCCAGGGTTTTTCAGAGTAACGAAGTCGTTTTAACTTGCTCAAATGTTATGAAAGGATTAATGTGGTCAAGAGAAAATGTGTGCATTTACCAGGGAAGAGTCCAAAATGTGACGCTCAGATTTTCTTTAAATTTTGTTCACAAGTCGGACATATGCCACATATCAATTCCTCAAAGTATTAGCTCACGATTTACAGGCGCTGTTGAGATTTTCAACGATCTTTGTCGCCGAGAGAGTACGCAAAATGCGGAGAGCGGTCAGAAAAAATTAAAGACTTTTTGCCATATCTTTGCCGGAAAAAATACTTTTTTGTAGAATATTACCTTCTACGGTGCAAAAAATATGTAAAAAATTATGCCAAAACTCGCAAAAAAGTAAGCATTTTTTTCCAAATTTCGACCTAATATCCTCATTCTTTTTTTCAAACCTCGAGCTCAGAGTCTTGCATATGTCTTAGAAAAGATTAATTTAATTGTTTTCATCAAAATCTAAGCGGCGCACTTCATGCACTTCCCTGGTTAGTTTAAAAACGAAACGATAGGGACAAATATTTTCTGATATTTTCGTGTTTTTGAGAGCTCGTTGACCACAAAAGTATCAGTGTCGACCGGCTTTTGGACTGACTGTAATTCCCGGGAATTACAAAGGGAAAACGCAACAGAGGGCTTAGAAAATGCAGTAACATCTCTGTACATAAAATCCTGAGAGGTCGAGAAATGTTTTATGTTTATAATAGAAGGCCGTCGGGAAAATAATGAGCACTCTGTCGCATCGAAAATCGCATCGCCGCCTAGAAAATGAATTGTGTCGCTGCAAAATCAAATTGCTTTTCAGTTCAGCGAGGCAATTTGCGCAGCGACATAATGCTATTATTTTCCCGACAGACTGATATCAGCGTGTCGGGAAAATAATGTGGATTTGTCACGCCTTGGAATCGGCCATTATTGCTTTACACGATTGACATTTTGAAGCGATAAATCCACATTATTTTCCCGACAAATTGATTACTATTCCTCTATAACACACATCATCTTTTTTTATCTTTTATAACCTGCCGATCCGACTGTATTTCATCGAAAGACTTCCTATTGTTCTACATCCAAAATCCCACATCTTGTATTATGTTCAAAAATAACCGCAAACCCAGTTACTTCAAACACCGATTCGTAATGTGTGCACAAACATAATCTCTACATCAATTAGTAATACCAGCACATTTTAAAAGTCACGGACTAAAGTTTGCTTTCGATTAATTCATCCGGAAGTCGTAGAAGGGAGATTAAGGAACCCCATTCAAACTGCCGAACAAATACCCATGGACATAAAACTTTAAAGGCCGGATGAGACATTAGATTTAAGACATCTGGAGAAAGCGGGAGGCCATGCAGTTTCAGAATAGTTGAGGAACGTTTTTGGCATGGTTTTGGAGAGTAAAATGAGATAGAATTAAAATAACAAACAAAAATCTCGCAAAAATTATTGTAGCCTTCGAAAAAAATATGATACTTAAAAGTATCAGCGTTTGTCTCACACATTATTCAACACAAATTTACTCAGAATACGATGACTATTTGAGCGCATAAACCTCAAAAATCACTGACAAATATCCAGACAT